GATGACCAGAGCTTTTTTAGGAACAAATTGAATGACATGTCTTCTAGTTACAAACTATCGTACCAACTGAACGCAATGGCACATTTAACTGACTATCTTCCTATAATCAAGTCCATTTGTATGAAGGTCAGCAATATGCTTACGGAGGTCTTGATCAATTATTTTGCTTTTCCCCATTTTGTCAATGTTTAAAGGATGGTTGACAGAAAAAGAATGACACAATACTTTTAATCATTCCTAAAAGTAATCATAAAATTAATCTGGAACGTGTGTGCATGCATGCATGTATGTGTGAATGCATGTGTTCAGTTCTTCTTCATGGGATACATTTTTTGAAGTTTTTAAAAAAAAATCTGATTGTTTGACTGAATACCAAAATATGTGTTCTACAAGCAGTAAAAATTTAATTAATGTATGTCTTAGGAAAAAAAACAAAACATTTTTTTAATGTGTTATAAACTTTTGTGTGGCACTGTATATCCTGGGATGTTAAGAGATGTTGGTGAACTGAAGATTTGCATACCAGACTGAAATCTATTTGATGTTGTGTGAAATTTACACTTTTAAAACCTGATATTGGTAACAACTAAATTATTTGTAACACAAAACTTTGCTCAGAGTCCACCCTGGGCATTAGTATTACTAAGACTATATTTATCAATCTTACATGAAAATGTCAAACCCAAGATTTCCAGAATGCAGGGGAATCATCTCTGGACTCTTGCCATGTGATCAAGAGGGCAGATCAGCAACCCTCCAGATTGATATGACAGAAGCAATAAGGAGATCATTCCAACGACTTTGGCCTGGTGTGTTTTATGCAATAAAATGAAAGAATGACAAAAAAGGTTTACATTACTTATTATTGACTTACAATCATATCAAGTTGAAACACCAGTTCTCATCTGATCACTGAAGTTAAGCAGCATTGAGCCTGGTCAGTACCTACATGGGCAATCATCTTAGAATGAGAAATTGGAGAGTTGAGTTCAGTGCAAATACCCTTGAGAAAAAGATATGAATCCATCATTTCTCTCTGCCTGGTTTAAATAATATGACCACAGCCAATGCATACTACCTCCTCCTCCCAATGTAAATGAATATATTTTTATAAAGTAGTTCATATCTGTCCTGCTATTTACCAATAACTACCTGAGAGGAGGAGAGATGGATTCATACCTTTCCTTATTCTAACAAACTTGACAGGAATTCAAACTCTGCTCTTCGATTCCTCAATCCAAGCCACTATCCATTACATGACTGACACCTAAGAAAGGTAACAGTACAATAAAAAAGCATAAAAAGATGCAACTTAACCAGTTTATTGGTTCATCTCTCATAAATCGAGGACAAAATGTAAAAATCCATCTGAATACAGGAGAGGTTTTTAGGCTAAAATATAATTCACCTTTGATATTTATATATTTATTATATAACATCTGGTCTACAGTGTTTTTCATTTTAGCTGTTGTGCATATTTCTTGTCCTCGATTGAGCTCTGATGTGAGAGGATCAATAAGCTAGTTAACACATTTTTGGGGGTTGGTAGGGAGTTGTATTTTAATATTACCATATTATGGTAATGTAAAAAAAATTTTCTTACTCCACCTTTTTTATGCAATGTATAACAGCTCGGAACTGGAAATCAGAGAGCCAAGTTCCAATTCCAGTCAGGTTCATTATATTTACTTATGCATAAATCCTCTTGAGAAAGGTATGAATCCACCTCTGCTCACCCTAGCAGTGGGTTAATTCATTGGACTTGTATCAGTAAAGTATTATTATCTCAAATATTCTTACAATCTAAAAATATTTTCTGGCTTTAAAAAAACTTGCAAGAGATTAATAAGCTGAAAAAAGAAAAAAATCAATCAAAAAAAACCTTTTTATTATTTTTTCCTCTGGTTTTATAATGCCCATTTTAATCACTATTATTAAATTTTGTATCCCTTTTAAAATAAACACATTTCATCAGACAAAGTGTGATGACTGTCTTCATGAGTTATCCCTGGTAATATACATCTACTTTCAGGTACTTAATATAAAAGATCAGCCATCTCACCTTTTTTTTTTTTCATTACTCAGAATTTTATAGGTAGGTGACCAACTGATTAGAATGTTCATGTACTGACTATGATATACAGGTTCAAATCTCAACAAAGTCAATTTTTTGATAATATTGGTCTTGGAGAGAAAGTAATTTTCTAACGGCTTAGATGTAGCACAAGGCCAAAAGTATGGAGCCTTGGAGGGATAATTTCCATGTGGGAAGTGCCTAAAAATCCTACCACCATTTAATACAAGTGTGGCATGGCTGAGGCAGCTGTCTCTGGTTGGAATCGATTCTGAACAGCTGGAGAACAAGCCGTCAGCCCACACTTGTCAGTCGTTGGTGACATTTGACGCTGCAGCTGATCTTTAAGTTGACCTCTTCAACTATGACCTCTCTTGCCCACGTTGTAATTTTTGATCTTAAGGGGATCAAGCTGAATTATCACTGGGGTATCTCAAGCAAGCTAAACCAAGGAGTTGAACACATATACACAAAATTGAAAAATAAAGTGGATGACACCCAAATAAGTCACGAGATGATGTTTATATCAAAATAAAAAAAAATATTTAAAGTTCTTTTTTCTTTTTCCAACCTGTTTCTAATATTTGGCGCCAGAATGAAAATTTCAGCTAACTCCTCTAAGGATGGCCAGACTTGACAACTGGATTTAACTTCAAGTACTGTTGATTGTACTTTCAAGGACGCCACAAGGATATCATCAGAGTCTTTCTTCTTCAGCTATTAATTATTATTATTATCATTAGGTTGGCAAAACAGTGTGATGACAAAAAAAATCTCTTAACTCCCTGTCTGTGGCTACTGCAACTCGCCACAACTCTCTTAGCCCCCATGGGCACCTGTATTTATGAGTGCCCATTCTGAACTGACATGGGGAAAGCGCATGAGGGGGTTTTATGCAAATATCCTAAAATTCAACCAATATCCTTTCTTCGTTCTCTGTTTCACATTTCCAATTTTGGAAGGTCCCTCTTTCCTTCGGGAGGAGCCATTATATGATGTCCATTTTCCTGACATCTCCCTCTGCCTTCACAATTGCTCATTCTGTCTTCACAATTATAATTTTTTCTCAGGGAAATTTCACTTGATAATTTTCTCAGCACGTAGACATTGACACCTTTCAACAGTGGACTTTGGCCCCTGGCCCCTGAACCTGCCAGTTGTGTCTCACCGGACAGTAACAATTGTATTTTGTATTTTTTTCAACAGAATTTGTACATCTGTTTGCAATGCCCAGAGAAAATAAGTCTCTTTCTGATAAAAAAAATAAAATCGATTTTTAACCCTTTTCATCCGTATGCCATGTTAAATATTACACAAGTCTTGTGAGTGAAATTGGGTAGACAAAACTGTTTGGAAGCCATCAGAGGTCATGCTAACACAAAGTTACAAATCATCATGACCGAGAGTTTGAGTGTACTGGCCTTGTTCAACTACTGATTGCATTAGTTACACTCTCTAAGGTTAACTAAGATTTGCACAATAGAGCCAAGCAAACCTTTGCAGTTCTTAAGGCACCTGAATGATTTCCTGATCTATACAAAGAAAGTTATGTCAGAAACAGATATTTGTTGCCAATCAGTCAAAAGCAGGCAGTGATCAATGTAATGAATGAAAGGAATTGAATATGTTTTAATTATCATCCTAAGAACAGTTTCCTTCCTTTTTGCAGAGTTAAATTATTTTAACTTTTGAGGATTTACATTAAAAATTCTTTTAACCTTTGGGGATTAACACTAAAGAGAAAAAAAATTGTCTTGTGGGATTATTTTTGTTGTTAGAATTGAAGTCAGAGACAAAAATGCAGGCAAAACATTGTGTTAATTTGACTACTGTTTGTGTTGTAAGGCTTCCAAATTCTCTTGATATCAATCATTTTTTTAAAGAGATTGTCAAATTAACCTATGCTTGTCACTAATTCATTTCAAGAAGAATTCAATGACTTCCCTTGCAAAAAGGAAATGATCATCAAAAATGAATGGCAATGTTTAACTTTCATTCCTGCAAGACAAATGGTCTTTCAAAAGGATGGTTATCCTCTTGATACCACTATTACTGTTTACACTTTTGACTCCCTCAGCAATATTTATTGTTTTAAAAAGCAATGATTAAAATTTTAATAAAACCTAAAACATATGAAAATAGATTTTTACATTTTCTTTATTCTTGAGAATTCATTAACAAAGATATTAAGCACTATTTATTTATTAGATTGCTTACCATATATACTTGTGTATAAGTCAACTTCCTGTAGAGTGTAACCCTGAATTTTTTTGCATGAGTTTTAGACTGTCCAGAAAAAAATTACCTGTGTATAATGAAACCATTCACCAAAAATGCATGATTTTTCACCTCTTCAAAAAATTACCTGTGTATAGTGCAACCTGATATTTTTTGTGTAAAAACTGATCATGAAAACTTATACAATATTTCAAGAATAATTTTATATTTCTGTGGTTATAAAAATGTGGACCAACTGTTAGAGTAAACTGTGGATGTAGTTATCCCCCTTTTTAAGGAACTCTTTAAAAAGGGGTTAATTTTATACTTCCTGTATATTTTATCTGTTGTAAATCAGTTGGTGAATAAACCTGTTACATTGTACATCTCGTTTCATTCTCTTCCTATGTACTTCTTGTTGTTATAATATGTCCACTTACCATGCTATTCCAACACCAACTATAATTAAATATTTATTATTTACCATTTTATATAGAAATAAATATGAGAGAAATTTTTTATTCGTAAATTTATAGAAATGTCTCTACAAGAAAATTTAAATGCATAACAATAATTAACGATAATTCTAAATTTTGAAAAAATGCATTTTCAAGGCATTTCTTTAATTTTCTCTCAACAGATAAATTCACTAAAATAGGTTGAAAACATCTTTTCCATCAAACCAAACATTCTTTTAATATATAATTATGCTTATTTATTCAAATTTTTTTTGATCTATAGTTATTTATAAACTGGTAAATAATAAGTATTGTATTGTAGTTGGTTTACATATTTGGATATTTTTTTATAACGCCAATAAAAAAACACATAAGTTATCTTTTTAACTTAATGTAAAAATAACAAAAATGAGAAAATCAGCAAACAATTGCTGATACCTCCTGATGAGTAAACAGAGAACGATTACAAAAAAGGTTCATCTACAAAACTCTGAAGTCGCACATAAAAATTGAAAATGAAGTTGAATATAAAATCACTCGGATAAGTGACAAATTTTATTTGTATTAATTCTAAATATTTTTAATAACAGATTTCTTTTCAAATTTATTTCTTTATAAAAAGTTAATAATAAATTTCATTTTGTTCACATATTTTTATAATCATGTAAATAAATATTGATGAGGCAGTCAAAGTGTATACAGTAATAGCTGTGTGAAGAGAATAATCATCCTTTGATGAAATGATTAAACGTTTAATTTTAAACGTCCTGTGGATGTTAACAAGGTTATGGATTTTGTGTGTATTTTTAAGTGAAGGTGTGCGTGTTCAATATGTAAACAAAGAAGATAGAAAAAGCAAAGAAAAAACTTGAGTTTCTGTTATGGATGTTTATTCCTTTTATGTTGATTGTATTGAAACAAAATTAAAAGGTCTCTTGAGTATGTTCATTTTCAATTTTTCATTCTGAGATAATTTATGGTAAAGTATGGATAAGAACGGGTAAAAATGGTCGAGCTCAAGTCAGCCTTATGCTTAGTTGGGATAACCAAATCTCTAATTAATGAGTAGTGCTGCTGAAAACATGTCCAAATGATATCATTGGAAAGTGGAAATAGAATGATTCTGTCCTTTCTGAACGTGGCATTATAAAATCTCACATATGACCAAAAACCCTTTCCTGCTTCTTTATAACTTGTATGTAGTAAGAAAACCTGATTACCTCCCCTGTCTCATGATCTGTGTAAGTCACGCCATCTTAGCCAAAATTGGCAAGATTCTTCAGTTATGGTCAATAAAGGCACATTAAGCTGAACTAGACTCAGAGTTTTCCTTACATTGCATCATGGGAAAATTATTTTTTTTTTTATTCTTTATTATTATTTTATTTATTCGTTTTATTTCATTTTCCTACTTGACAAATATTTGGAGTTTGATTAAAGTTAGACCAATTCTGAAATCCTAAGACAATTCTTCTTTCAGATTAGATATAACACGTATCACTTGGGAAATGTTTAAAAAATGACAAATGTCTGCTTGCAAACCCACTGTGAGGTCTGCTCAGTATAGGTGCATCATAAAGCACATGTTGGCTCCTGTGGGTGTTTTTTAAGAAATACAAATGTGCCTGAGCAGTCATCTGCAAGATAAACTAGCAGACTAGATTACCCTGAAACAAGCAGCCAACCATTATTCCAGATTTAAAACAAATTTTGTGCACTGTGAAATATAATCAAGCATTTAAAAATGAAAGGAATGTGAAAAATATTGTCAGTTTTAATAGCACCATATGATTAGAGTATTTACAAAGTACAGCTTTGTTTAACACAGGACTCATGAATTGAACTCACTGATACAAATAAGTTCCTAAACAAACTTACAGAGTTTACAGCCATATCATGTTGAAACATTGGTTCCCCATATGATCACCAAAGTAAGCAACATAAAACCTGGTCAGCACCTACATGGGTGACCGCTTGGTGCTATAAGTTTGGATGTGTGAGTGACGTAATGGATAACAACATGGAATTGTTAATCAGAGAGCCAAGTTCTAATTCCAGTTGTGTTCGTTTTATCGAATGCACAAATACTCTTGGGAAAAGTATGAATCCACCTCTTCTCCTCCCAGCTATGGGTTAATTAGTAAGACTAGTTTCACGAAATTATTATTCATTATTACCTCCAAAAAAAATTCTTATAATCTAAAAATATTTTCTGGTTTTAAATATCCTGCAAAAGGTTGATAAACCATAGAAAACAGATCAATGAAACCTAAACAAGTTTCAGGCGTCTATTAGTTTATATAGTCAGCTTTTGTTGGCTACCATAGATTTGGATTCAACAAATGACTACTTATAAAACTCAACATTTCATCTGACTGACTAGCTTGCTAACTATTACACTACGGCAAGAATGCAAAAATGTTCATTTCAGGCAAACACTGAAAAACAAAGTTGAATTTTATTACATGTCTGGTCCTCCGTAGATTTCATATTCTGGACGCACGACTTGTTTCTTTCGCGACTCGTTCCATCATGGCTACTGTGTTGACATCGCGCTGTTTACCCCGGTTCGCCAGACAAATTAGTTTGGTGGCTGTAAGTAAATTGATTATTTTATTTATAATTTTCTTGTCTTTACTTTTTGTTTTGTTTTTTAAATAGTGTTATTCTTATTGCGACAAAAGAATCTTTAAAAATGGCTCTGATTCGGAAGAAAAAGATGGTGACCTTCTCTTTTTATTTCTTTGACTTTGTCAATTTGGGTTTTTTTTTTTTTCATTGATTCATTCATTAAATCATTTTCAAAAGACATCGAATTTTTTTTCTTTATTACAATTGTACTTTACTTATTTTTTTTAAGCAAGTGTTTTTTAAATATGCCGAGAGTGTAGATTTCCCCAAGAGTGACATTTATTTCAATTTCTTTCGTTTCTTTTTTTTATTATTAAAAATAATAAACGACTTTGGAGCGGATCTAAACGATATATTTTTGAAAATTTTCATTATTGTTCTTAAAAATATCAATATTCATTTTTTTGTTGTCAGGTGACAACACACATTTTAGCAACAGACATCAGGGGATGCTTCCTTTTTTTTTTTTTTTTTATTGAAGTCACTCAACAAATATCGGAGAAAAAAATCCCATCTGTTTGACTCTGTCTGTTTTTTTAAAAAGTTCATTTTTGCCTAAAATTACTAATTTTGGAATTTGATAAAAATTGAAATCAAACAAAAAAGCCACATTAAAAAAATCTATTCTAACAAAATTTTTAATTTTTAAACTTTTAAAAGACAATAAACTTTTTATTTAAAGTTTTTAGATTTACTCTTTTTTCCGATAGAAGATTGGCAATTGTCAAAGAAACACTTTTGTTTTAATTTAATGACTACATTGCAAATTTATTTTTTTTAAAACAACAAAAAAACAAATTACAGATTTTCTAATTTTTATTTAAAAAAAGAAAAAAGAAAATGTGGAAAGATGAGACGAAATTTGACAAAAAATTAAAAATTGTGCTTCTTGCTAGCTAAAATAATATTGTTTAATTTTAATAATTTTCATGTTAGTGTATTTTCTTTTAAGTCACCCCCCCCCCAGAAGAGGGGCGAAGGATTGGTAAAAAAAAAAAATGTTAGAGATGACGACGCTGTAAAAATGCAACCTGCTTTAAATTTAAATTATTGAATTTATTTAACAATAACATACACTTGAGTCCTTGACCTTTCTAGACTTACCATACACTTGACCTTTCAAGTAGGGACCATCCCCCAAAAAACAATACCTAAGGTTTAAAATGAATTTTTAAAAATGAAAATTCTTTCTTGAAGCATTTATTTTAGTCTTAATTTCAGGCTAATGGATCAAATTTAATATTTCCAATAAGCTTTACTTTGCTTTATTTCAAAAACTAATTGAAATTGATTGGAAGTATAGGTGCTTTAGCGTTCTTTCTTTCAATTATTATTTATTAAAAAATCTACCGAAAATAAAATCTACTTTTCTGAAAATTATTTGAGGAATATTAGCTGTTTAAAGTATAATTAATCTGATTTGAAACAAATATTATTTACTTTAGGTTTAAAACATCACAGAATTGCATTTTTTTTAGGGATCTATGCATATCTTCCAGCAAGAATAGATAAAAATTCCAAGTAAATCTATCGATCCAATCACAGACATTTTTTTTTAGTAATAATAGAGCAAATCAGTCCACATGATCCGCCTTGAAGCATTTAAGCAAGATTTTTTTTTCCATTAAAAACGGCCAGTTGTCATTGAAATTTGCTTTCTGCATGAACCCGTGTCAACTTGAATTTCATCCCACTTCTGACAATATTAAACTGACATCGAAAACGACAAAGACGTTTACTACACTGACAACAACACACATGAAACTTGACATCTATCCTTGAATCCCTGAGCCAGTTATGGTCTAACTTTAAATCCATGGTTCTTAACCATTTTCTTTTTTTGTTTTTTTACCCATAGACTACTTTTACTCTTAACTTTTTTTTTTTGGTTAACTATTCAATGAAAAAAAAGTTTATTTTATTTTTTACTAATAGATAAGTGTTAGGAATTGTATTATAGAAATAAATGTATATGTTTTATTTTGAAGTAAAACTAATTTAATGAAAATAAACTTTTATTTAACAACTAAATTCTATGGAACGTTTATGTAAACTAGTGAAATATCTCATAATAAACAATTTTAAAATATGTGAGTAATTAATAAATTAAAATAAAAAGTGCAGATTTATTCAATTGGATCCCTGTGGTTGATGCTTCTCTGTGAGTTTTTATGTTCGGCTTCAAGGTCAATGAGAGTCAAAGATCATCAGTTTTCACAATGTCGAGTCTATTATTACAGGTTTTCAATAAGTGAGACACATGACTAAAACAAGGTAAAATAATTTTACAATCAAAACATCCAATAGAGTAAAAAGGATGATAACTTATGTTGGTTAGTTTCATTTTCTGCTAGTTTTAGAGTTGTTTTTCTATTTTTAGTATTTTAATATGGTGTAGATTACTGTAGAAATTCTAGTTCTTAGTTGTAACAACCAATTGGAAGAGAAATTGTTCTATAGACCACTTTTAATATTACTGTGGACCACCAATTTGTTATTTTTTTTGTACAAACCCCCAGTAATGTTATATGCAATCCTAGGATCTATATCAGTTTTTCCCAACTGACGTTGGATCATGCCCCAATTTGGTATTTCTAAAATTCTTATTATCTATGTGAATAAATTAAAAAAAGGTAATACAGTGTATGGTTTCAATCATACCATCCCAAACAAAGTGGCACATGGCTGGAAAGAGGTGATATTTATTTCTTGTGTATAAAATGTACCTCTAGATTTTAGACTTAAAAATGTAGAGGAAAATAATGCTTATTATACAGAATTATATCATCACCCTTTATTCCTGTAATGAAAATATTGATGAATTCTTAACATGCTGGGCCGTGATCTGTTGTTGTTAAGCTAAAAGTCCAAGAAAACAACTTGATATTCTTTGGTTAAGAACAACCCTCACTTTATAGAAATACTAAGGCAATAAAAATTAACAAATTCCATATACTGACCTAAAACTGTTAATTAAGAAACACATGCAAAATCGATGGCAAGAATAATGGAGTAGAAAAATACAAAATAACCTAAAATACAATCTTACCAAACCTCAGAAAAAAACCATGCCATTATGGAAAATTCCAAAGGGAAGTGGTTACTATAACATGACTACGAATAGATCACACTAAAATTACACATTCAGTCTTACTGAAACAAAAAGAACCACCATGGTGTCTTACATGCCAAACCCCAATATACACTCAAACATTTTCTAATTCAATGCATTGATCTTGACTCAAAAAGACAATTTCTTCAAGGCAAACAGCCTAAAAGAACTATTTGAAAATATTAAAGTAAATAGAATTATAACATTCCTGAAATGAGTTGTGAAAATATAAAAAGAAAAAACAAAGATTGTTCCCTAAATATAAATCAGTTTTGGCATAAAATGAAACTAAAGAATTGACATACCATTAAATCCAATTAAACTTAAAATGCAGATAGAATAAGAGACAAGACTTATTTCAAGGTGCCTAACCATTTCTAACAATGCAGGCAGTGACGTGAACACAAATTTTTTTCTTACTGCTTCCTTTACAATGAGATGGGGGTGCTGCAAAATTCTCGCCCTTACCAAAAAGAGATTACAAAACAAATTTTAATGTTTGATCAGATTTTGGAAGGTAACCCAGAACTTTTCAACATCCTCTTGTCCCTTGGCAAAATTCTCATCAGCATCTGGTGACATGTCCTTTGTTGATTTTTACATGTTATGTCCTTTAATCAATTAATTTTCTTTAGTTACATCCAATTGCTACAAGAGGGCCTACTTCTTTCAAAAAAGAAAGCAGCTTTTAAAATGCTGACATTTACTTGAATTCAAACACTGAAGTGTGCAACTTAGCTAAACCACCAAAAGCCAACCACTGGGTCCTTTTTTCAGTTGGTGTGTCTTACTTTTAATGATTTATTCATCAAAAATCATTCAGTTGTTTTTGTGTGAAATATTCATTGAAAAAGAAAGAAAATTGATCTGCCTCATTTAATAGGCAGCATTAATAAAGATTGCTTCAAATATTGAACATTTCGTTTTTCCTTTTTATTTTTTTTACATTTCAGAGTAGCAGCATAAACAATGTCCACCGCAAATACCAAACAAGTCTAATAAAACAACAAGCAACTGTACGTAATTCAATTTTTTACTTTGATTTCTGCTTCTTTTTTTTTCCTTTTTAGATTTCTACAAAACTGATTAAGTTTTGTGATCTGCTGATTTTTTTTTTAACATTAGATGAACAAAAAGTTGCTAATACTTTATCTCAGATCTATTTTCATTAGATGACCACAATTGTAGGGCAACAAGTGATGACCAAACTCACAGAAGTCAATGAGATTAGCTTTCTAATCCCTGTTCTACAGTAAATAACTCTTTGTTTAATCTGGTCTGAGAAGTGTGGGACACCCAGTGAGGATCAAACCCATTAAAATAATAATGGTCTGTGACATTAACTTGATAACTGATATTCCAAGGTGACACTTCCTTATTTTTTTATGGAAAAAAACAAATCCTATCTCTGTTCCATAACAACATTTAATTTTTTTTTTTTTTGAGTAGCGCTTATAAAAGAAGGCTACATTTAAACTCTAGGCCAAAGGTTCAAGGATTTTAATACTTAGTAACTTTCATGCCTTCATTAGTTAAATTAACTTCTACTAAGCTACGATAAAGAAACTGTTTAACCCATTACTGCAGGGTGTCCAATTCTTTTAGAGAAGTGGGGTACCTCAAATTTAAAATCTGCCAGCCCTAACATTACCATTATCCAGCAAGATAGATTAGGAAAAAGGAGCTGAAATTATAAGAAAACTTTATGCAGTAATAGGTGAATTTTGTTATTATTATTAATGAATATCTGATAAAACTCTTCAGAAAGAGAAAGTCCTTTCAGCCCAAAATAAGCTCATAAATTAGTTTTGAAAATGGCACACAACCTTCAATTTTTAGGCTATTCTTTGAAATCCAGAGGATGTCCCCAAACTTCTGGCCTATAGTGAAGATCATAGCAACAACTTTATGTTGATACGTTTAAACTTGACAATCATAACTCTTTTAAATAACTTCAAATATCTTAAAATTGATTTTACAAAGGTAAGTAAAAAAAATTGAAATTTTCAATATTGCACCTGTTGTGATGATATATTTGGGCAGATAATAGCAAACCTGGGTGGAAACTTAAAATGATTTCATTTTTGTGTCAATTGTTTTGTAATGCAAAATATTTCATCTTAAAAACAAATTATCTTACTTTCAAAATCATACAAATGATTGCTGTTGGATAATGCTTGCTTGTATTTTTAAAGGCTACTGAACCAGCATCAAAACCTTCCAGACGCCATGTTATTACCATGATTCCTGGAGATGGAGTTGGTCCCAGTCTGATGACCAGTGTCCAAGATGTCTTTTCTGCTGCTGGTGTACCTGTGGACTTTGAGGAAATTTTTATCAGGTAAACAAATCCCCACTTTTAATAATCAATATTCTGAATGCTTTTTGATTGGTTGTTGCCTTCAGTTGCTCATTGATAGCAGCACTTGTTTCGAAATTTTGATTGGGATTATCATAAGAAACTCACAGAAGAAAACTCCCTTCCAATCTCACTAAAAACTCAGCATCCTCTTCTTTGGATGAAGACAGATTTTAGTACAGTTAGTGATGATTCATTTCAGTTGTTGCATGATCTCTTGAATTGTTGTAAAGTATTCTTTTTTCATTATCCCATATTAGAATTTGTTTTTAAAAAATGGAAAAAATTTAATTTGGTTTAAGTAATGGATCACATGAGAATATGGTTTAGTAAGTCTTGTTTTGCTTTTATAGAAGCCACACATCAAACTGACTACCATAAAACCAAACTGGCGCAAATGAACTTTATTTGGATATTCTTACTGTTGTATAACTTTTCATTATTCTCAAATAATGTTTTCATTTGATCACTCAATCACGTCAATCCAACTATGGAGCATCAGTCAATGAAAAATCTCAAGCCAGAAGTTACACAAACCACTTTAACCTATTCAGTTATTTGCAATAACTTTTTTCAAATTTTTTTTTTTTTTTTTTTTGCAATACATTAATTTGCTTGCACTATTTACATCATTTGGACTGTTGTCCTCTTTATTGTCATATTTACAACATTTCGGCCATTGTACACTCTGGCTTTCTTCAGGTAATATACATTGGAATTTCAAACCAAACCCTTTATTTTGTCTATCGGGGTAGATTGTTCTAGTTCCACATGCCATATCTGGATATCTCAGTTTTAGTTATTTCCTTTTAGTAACTCAACTCTACAAGTTTTTGTTCACCTCTGCTGTGGCCAGGTATTGAACACACAACTCTTTGGGTCAAGTCACTGGATTACTTCAACCAACACTTTTGTCCACTGGGCCATGTGTCAACAGTCCAAACAATGTAAATAGTTACAATACCTCATCTCAGAAATAGAGACAGACATTAATTCATTATTTTTTTCTTTAATACAGTATCCATTTCTGAACGCATAGACATGCATAAATTAAAATAATTAAAAATAAATTATAATAGGCACATTTTCTTTAGTAAGACTTCCGATATTTAAGCCAGTAAACATTAATTTCACTGTTGTAAAAAAAAAAAAAAAAAAAACACAAAATTGTATCCACTAATTATGTTGGTATGTTAGTTATTAGCCAAACCAAGAAGACCTGATGTTTGGTCAGACTTTTTGGAAGTCAGATAGGCTGAGAACTTTTCAGCGCCCTATATTATGTAGGTATGTGTGCATGTGTGTGTACTCTGCAAGCCTGTGCATATTTACAGTATCCTTGTTGATAATTCTTAATAAAAGAAATTCTTGTTTTGTTGCAGTGAGGTTCAGCCTGGACAAAGTGCCAGCACTAACACAGTTATCGAGTCTTTCAAGAGAAATGGTGTTGGACTCAAAGGAATCATCGCCACACCTGCTAACTCAGTAACAGGTGCACTGGAGAGTCTTAATATGAGACTGAGGTAAGTTGTGAATTTTTTTTTTAATTGGTATCATTCTATGTAAGGCTATAAAAGCCACTAAGACACAAGGGGTTACAGGATGAATTAGGAACAGAAACATTAATAATAAGCGGGAAGAGAAAAGAGTAATCAGGAGGACAGTAGAGAGCAATTGACATTACATTTAATTTTTTGCAGATTAAAGTTGGCTGGAAAACATGGAACCAGAAGGAAGTTCCACAAGCAAGAAGTGCAAGAAAATAAACTGTTAGCATAGAACTTACAACTACATCTAGCCAGCTCAACTGTAAATTGATGAAATCACATTGCCAGTCTAGTACCGCACTTAAATTCAAACATTGTAGGTACCATAGCAGAGAGCACATCTGGACAATTATGATGAAAGTATTTATAGAAAAGACACAGAGAGACAACCTTAGAGTGGTGGGAAAGTAAGCGAAGCCGAGCCACCAGATCAGGACCAATAATATTGCTGATTCTTCTTTGGATCTTATCAAGGAACTCCAGGTAAATAGCAGGGGCACCAGACCATATGTAGCAGCAATATTCTAAACAAGGATGAATGTTAAACTTATAGATATGTAAGATAGACTCTGGAGAGAAAAATTGTCTCGCATAACAGAGTGAACCAACATTCTTAGCAGTTGACTTAGCAATGGATTCAATATAGTCTTTCAATTTCATGTTAGCTGAGAACATTAGCCCAAGAAGGTGCAACAAGTAACTTTCCTGGAGGCTAGAATCAGAAGACAGATAGGTGATTAAGGTATAGTTTATAACTTGCTTTGCTGTCACAGACTGGAATGTGGGCTGGGTTGAGAATTTTTCAAACCCCACCAAACAATATATTTTGTCCATACTGACTTGTATGAAAATAAACTTGTTTTAATCAGGCAATAAAGACTTTGTATTTTTATCAAAATAGAAGTTACATTACATGTGGTAGTGTTAAAAATCATTTGAATGAGTTTTTTCATAATTTACTATTTCCTTTCTGAGGCAAGTAATCATCAGTATACTTTTCATTACTTCAAACTATTGTTCTCATCTTGGTTGATGTAGATGTTATTATAGCAACAATGTTTAGAAATATAAAGGCTCCAAAAATACACTACTAATGTCCTTTGGGGCAGTGGTGTAGTGAATATAGAATGTGCTTATATATGTGTTACTGTCATTTAGTGGTTGTGAGTTCAGTCCCTGATTCAGGTAGTGAAACACTCGTTCAGCAGGAATGAACAATAACTGGCATCACAGGGACAAAATAAATTTAACAATAATCAACAGATATCTCATATCAGCCAAACAATGGACACCTGATGATAGTCAGAGAGTACTTGATCAAAATGTATCTATATCTATATCAACCAAGATCAGCCGATTCATTTTTAGTCTTTTCCCTTCTCTCTAAATTTTTTTTAAGAAATACTGCTCAGAACTGATAAATATTCTTTGAAATTCTAAACTAAATTCCATTGCTGGAAGTAATTCTTATGAAGACATAGACCCAGATCTGTAACAATGTAAATTACAAGGATATAAAGAATAACTCTTAGATTAATGATTCCAGAAACATTTACCAATTCTCTTTTACCAAGTAAAATAGGATAATATTTTCTTATTGGACTCCATAACTTCAATGACCTACAACCAATATTTTCAATTAGTCATGAAATGTTCAGACCAACATTTATAATCCTTAGGGTTATTAGGATACCTTCAGTAACTGCTAACTGCTTTATCTGTTCAATAAGAGATGTCCTTGTCCAACAAGTCTCTTCAAAGAAGTTTTACATCAAAAACTCGCCACTGAAAGAGAACAGCACCACCATGCAGCTTTGGCAATGATTGCAACTACTGACTTCCAGTGTCCTCACTGCTCCAGACTCTGAACGTCCAAACTTGGGTTGCAGAGTCACCTTTGGATCCACAAACAATTGCAAAACAATGACTTCTCCAGATTTAAAGGACAACAATAAAAGGTCATCAAAATTAGATCTTTTTGTACAAATATTTTGAGAGACTTTCACTAATTCCCCAAAAGATTATCAGTTCTTCAGGAGGTATTTACATGAATTCTTAAAGTCGTTTCTGTATTCTCACAATCAATGTCACTCTACTTGCAACAATTTATTATTGTATACACAGACATATTGTTGATATATATCAAGAAGTAAATTAATTTAATGAGCACTCTTCCCTTGAGATATTTCCATTGACTTGTCGCTCTCAAATGTAGGGGGTCCAGCATCAAGAGATCAAGTGATGAAAGTGTATCCAGATCTGAAGATGCAACCCAAGTTGGACAAAAGAGAATGAAAATACAACTGACTTCTCATTTGCCAGGATTTAGACCGCAACCTGAAAACCTTTATACCAAGTCCCAAATTCTTCTAAAAGATTGGATTTTGTGTAGAAAAGAAAAAATGTCTCTTATTATTTTTGTCAGAGATAACAAGAAATGAACCCATAGCCATGAGTTTAGAGAAGGTTAACAAAAAGAAGATATCTGACTGAATGGCCATCAAACTGATGACTTCATCAGCAATTTGAGGAAAAATTTTGATTTTGTTTTACTGAAAATTTTTAATCATTTTTCCTCAACCTTCTAAAATATTTAATAAAGTAACAATTTCTTTCCTTTTCTGCCATATTTGACACCATTTCCCCCACCAATCATAGTTATGTCTGTTAGTAAACATTCCTAATTCCATTGTCTTTTATATCAAATGAGTCATTTATATGCTTTTGTTGTAGGAGGCAACTTGACATATTTGCCAATGTAGTTTGGATCAAAAGTCTTCCTGGCATCAAGTCTCGTCATTCAAATCTGGATTTTGTGGTGATCCGTGAACAACAAGAAGGAGAATACAGTGGCTTAGAACACGAGGTCAGTAGAAAATTCTGATTTTCTTTTGCACAACTAGCTTTTCCAATGATTTAAAAAAAAGAAACAAATATTCAATTAATTTGAGCAGCAAAAATTACAAATTAAAAGTTTTTTATTATTTTTCTGCAATTTGTATTTAGATGCATTAATTTCTATGATTATTTTTATTTTCATTATTTATATTATTCGGACTATTGTCCTCATCTTTGTCGCCATATTTATTACATTTCGTCCATTGTACACTCTGGCCCTCTTCAGGTGGTTGGAATGTTTAACTGAACCCTTTATTTCACTCACTGGGGTATTTTTATTTTCCATTATTCCTACGACATCTTACGAACTCTTGAATATTTTCATCATAAACTCCCATTGCTGAATAATAAACACACAATCAAGAGAGTGCTGAAAATTTCTCATTCCAACCCATTTCCCAAAATCAATATTTTAATGAATAAACATAAGAATACTGATTTTAGGGAGCTAGGCCGAGAACGTTTCAGCACCCATAGTTTTGTGTGTGTGTCAGTGTGTGTACACTGACATAAAAGAGCAACACCCTGAAGCGTGATGCCACTTGTTGAGTTGTATAAATATGTGCATTCTCAAGGGTAGTAGATGGCTTGATAAAAGTTTCAAAGTCTGACTATCAGGAAATATAGTAGCATTCATGGCAGTGCACCATCTGTGCCTGAGCTTTAAGATGGAGACACATGCTCCTATAATATTCACTGTGGTCAAAAAAAAAAAAAACATTTTAGAGATGTTGGATTGCAGGCTTTCAAGAAGCTAGATGTTTATTTTGGAGAATTGCTGTACATATTGGATGTGACAAATGAACGGTGCTTCAAGACTGACAACAATGGTTAAATGAACATTCCTGCATTTGTAGATCAGGTTTTGTAAGCTGCAGACCTTGTAGTGTCTACAGAATTGACTAAATGTGGCTACAGAAGTGTTAACATGGATTGCTGGGAATCATTTACCTGCAGCAGGACTATATCATTAACCAGACTATCATTTACACCACAATACCATCATACATCTCTCACTGGCATCGCAAGAGGCTCACCTTGGGATCAAATGGCTCTCTGTAATGTTTAGTAATGAGAGCAGATTTTGCCTTCATGCAAGTGATAGCAACATAGATATGGGTAGTGACATCTTTCAGAGTGCTTAATCATTGGCATCATAGTGTAGGATGACATAAGTTACAACTCTCTCTCACCTTTGGTATTTGTGAAAGGAATACTGAACAGTGTTCTGTATATGCAGAACATTGTTCAATCCATTCTGCTGCCAGGGTGTGGTTCCAACAGGATAATGCCCATTCCACTCAACAGAAACTGTTGTCAGTAAAAATTGAGCATGTTATGAGGCCCGATGGGATGATGCCTGACTCATTCAGTCAGCCCACCTACAGCTCTTGCTGTCTTGCATCTACTGTTGCAAGAGACATGGGATAATGTATCACAGAATGGTATTTGCCATCTACATGATTGCATGCATGAAAGAGTATCAGCCTGATGTTTTAATACGTAAGGAGAACATACAGTGTATTAATATGGGATCTGAATACTTTTGATAGATCCCTAACCAGTAAAGGTGTACACATCTTGATCTGTAGGTATGATCATTTATGGTAATCCAGATCTATTACCTGTGCATTCTATCTTCAATAAATTGAAACACATATTCAGGGTGTTGCAATTTTATTTTCAATCAGTGTGTCTGTACATACATAGTGGCTGTCGACTCAAGCGAGTATGACCATCACTGACATGTCCAGTCCATCAGTTAAAACACACACAACACTGCATTCATTTGTTGTGTGAATGACAGTGGCTCATAAAGCCAGCCAATGATCTGCATTTCTTGTTACATATATGGCATGTCAAATCATCTCCAGATGGTGGAAGTTGACTTTGAAAATCATCACTTCCAATGTGTCTTTTTATATCCCTTGCCAGTGTCGACCTGGACTTACACAAGTGCAGGCCAGGCATTCAAAGCGTGCCATTACAAAATCCTCATATGTCTGTTGGTGTTGGTGTGATTTCTGGTGACTGATCAGACCTGCCCTGGATAGATGTATCTGATTGCATTGTGCACATGGCAATTAAGGGATCCCTTCTGAACCCCTCTTTTCAGTTTTGCATATTTTTGTGATGCCTCATGGAAGATCTTGATGCCATCAGCAATACCAGCTCTCCAAGAAACCCAGTCTCCAGCTAGAGTCTCCCAGTTATCCAGACCAATATTGCACTTGTATAGTGACTCTTTAAGGCAATCTTTGTAACAAAATTTCAGCTTGTGCTGTGGTCTTTTTCCCATTTCCAATTCTCTATATATTAATTGTTTTGGTATTCTGTCATCTGCCATACAAATAACATGGCCTGTCCATTGCAATCTGTATTTGTATATAAGTTCTTCCACAGAGAGTGAATTGGCCTTTTTTAGAACAACAGTATCAGGGGTGTGAGACATCCAGTGAACTTTCAGCACAAACTGAAGGCAGCATTAATGAAAACGTTCCAATATATTCAGATGTCTGCGATAGACTACCCATGTCTCACATGAATATAGCAGCAATGATATAATGCAGACATATATTTTAATTTTTGTCTGCTTTTTTTTATGCCCTTCTGATTCCAGACACGGACAGTGAGTGCTGCATATGCATTGGAGGTTTTCTCAATCTGTAATGCTATCTCATCATCAAGAGAGCAGTGGTGGTTGAGGGTGCTACCAAGGTATACAGATTTGTCTACTGCCCCAAGTTGACTACCATCAACATAAATTGATTGCTCTATATACTGAATTCCTTGGGCAGATTGATACATCACCACTGTCTTCAAAGGCTGATGGACAGCCCAAAAGCCTTACATGACTCTGATAATCAATCCATGAACTTCTGTGCATTCTGAATTGTGTGTGCGACCAGGTCACAGTCATTGGCATAGAGAAGGTTGCGCACTAAACTCAAAAAGACTTTTGTCTTTGCTGCAAACCTACGTATGTTGAAATGCTTGCCAGTTGACCTGGACCTTATCATAATAACATCATGGCAGTCCCTGAATGCATCAAGCAGTACAATTAAAAAGTAAATTAGAAAACAGTGTAGGAGCCAGATCTCTCTTTGCTTAACTCCATTTTCAACCTTGATGGGCCCTGTAAGCATACTGCCAAAACTGACAGAGGCTTCCATACCATCATGGAAGGACCTCAGAATCTTGGGAAAGTGGTGGGACAGCCCAATTTTGAGAGGTCTTTCCAGAAAGCAGCACAATTAACAGTATCAAAAGCTTTCCTCAGATCTACAAATATTTGATAAAGGTCCATTTGTTGTTCACAGCGCTTTTCCTGGATTTGTCATGCTGTGAAAATCATATCTACAGTCCCTCTGTGTTGGCGGAAACCACACTGTGACTCGGGCAGTATGTTGTCAACTATTTTCTGTTTTAACCTTAAGAAAAGAGGCTATCTTGAGAACAGAGGCTAAGATCTAACCTGCCAAAGAAAGGAGAGCAATCCCTATAATTACCACATAATTCCTGAGCACCTTTACTCTTTATATATATATATATATATATATATATATATATATATATATATCATTATCATTGGTGCATCCCTCCAATCTTTTGGCACTTCTCTATGTATCCAAATCTTTACAATAAGATCATGCACGTTGACTTAAATGTGTTCCACTGTAACGGACTATCTCAGCAGGAAGGCTATCAACCCCAACAGCCCTGACCATGTAGAGTCCCTCCATGCCACGCAGAACATCACCCAGCAATGGTTGGCTGTCAAATTCTACCACTATATATGCATACACACACACACACACACACACACACACATACATACATATATGTGTGTGTGTTTTTATATCTCTAGAACAATATTTAAGAAAAATGTATGAAAAAGTCAAAAAACTTTTCTTGTAACATGTTTCATCCTTGAGGATTTTATTGAACTAAATTTGTTATGCTAGTATGACTACACATTCGCACAAGTGAGGGATGCTGGGAATTTTTTATTTTAATCTAGCCAATTTCATTTAGATTCTTTTTCTTTCCATATTGGTTGGTAGATATCCCCACACTGTGATAATAGAAGTTCTGCCAAGTTGTAGATGACCTTGTGATCAAGGCACTCTCTAAACATTTTTGCTGTGGTAAATTGTTTCCTCCTTTGATCAGAGAAGCATTTTCTTATGTCAAAATTGTGATCTTTCTCATTACAGTGGTCAACCAACGCATTTGATGTATTGTTTTGCAAAATGTCCCTTTTGTGTTCATATAATCTTTTAGTTAGATTCCTTGAGGTTTCTCCTATGTATTTTTGTGACAATTATTACCAATTATTACAGGTGATTGAGTAAATTCCGCCTTCAATTTTTAGCTTATTTTTTGGTTTAGTATTGACTAAGTCTTTTATTGTTTTATATGTAATAGTAACAAATATTATATATGTGTGTGTGTGTGTGTATTTGTTTTCTTAGCACAGATGATTTTCTTAACCCATATCTCCTTGACATCAATTGAAACTGACAATTTCTTGTTTTTCCCATATATCTAAACTATAATTTGGAAAAATAAAAATTTCACTGAAATATGTCAGAAAATTGGGAAATTTTCATGTCAAATCAAGAAAATATGAAAAATGGTGGCAATAAGTTGGGGAAAAGATGTCAGTTTAAACATTTCTTATAAAGCCAGGAAGATGTGGCTTTGTGGATTTTTGTGTATCAATTTTCTTACTGCTGTTTATATTTCTCTCTTTAGAGCATTCGCGGCGTTGTTGAAAGTTTAAAGATTATTACCCGGGACAATTCTCATCGGATTGCAAAATTTGCTTTTGATTATGCAATGAAGAACAACCGGAAAAAAGTGACAGCCATCCACAAAGCAAACATTATGTACGTAAACATGTTTCTTGTAACAATTTATGAGGAAGAGAGACAGCTATGTTTTTCTCTCTCTCCATTTTAATTGCCCGACTTGTAAGCAGAACACAAAATGAGCTGTACATTGATTCTCTCCCATTCAAGTTTCAAATAGGCACCTGGTAAACAAGTCTGACAAACCATATGCTATCGTTGTGACTTTGATCCTCACTGGGTGCCTCATTCATTGTGGTTCTCTGCCAGACTAGACTAAGCTTAGGTGTCAAATGGATAGATTGATATAGGTATATGTTGCCATGTTAAAATCTCTTTATTTTGAATTATAATCAAATTAAATGGAATCTATCAGCAAACAATTCTTGTGGACCATTGAAAATTGATCCTCACTGGGTGGCCTACCACCATTGACTTTTGTGCCAGATAAAATAAATATCTATGTTCATTGTAAATATGAAAGGAAATCTCCCCTCTCCCCTCATCTCTATTTCACATCTATGTATAGGAATTATTTATGTATAATTGATTTGTTTTTTTATGGCTTATCAACCTTTTGCAAGTTATTTAAAGCAAGAAAACATTTTTGGATTGTAAGAACTTTTGGAGATAATAATGATTTATTGCTACAAAGTCCTACTATTTAGCTGGGAGGAGAAGAGGTGGATTCAAACCCTATATAAATTTAACAAACCTGACTGGAATTGGAACTCGGCACTCTGATTTCCAATTGGCAGTTGTTATCCATTACACCACCCATACATCCAAGTTTAGGGCACCTGGTATTCCTAAGTGATCATCCATCTAGATACTGACCAGGCTTGATGTTGTATTTATGTATAAATAGTGTTCCTGCCTTGAACAATTCATAGAGCCTGTCAGGAATCAGATATATGTTAACGAACACTCTCTTCAGCTATGAGATTGGTCTTGAGTGATCTGTCCTGTAATGAAAATGAATCTGCATATTTTCTATCTTTTCCTTTCTTTTTTTGTTGCTGTCGCTACTTCTCTCCAGGAAACTTGGTGATGGCTTATTCCTGGAGTGCTGTAAAGAGGTTGCTGCCATGTACCCAGACATTCAACTGGAGACAATGATTGTGGATAATTGCTGTATGCAAGTAAGTCCTCTATTAGACCCCCTCTTCCCAAATTTCAATTGATAGCCACTGTAACAAAAGTCATAGACAGTAAATCCCCTGTTGATATAATAAATCAGAAATAACCCTATATTCAGATACAATCCCCAAAAAATCATCTGCATCAAGATCAAACAAGAGGCTGCATTAGACATGTTTAATTTTTTAGCAATTTTTGTTTGTTTGCATCACAGGAGTAACCATCATGTATGTTTTCACTGTAAAATGACTTATATATATATATAATGCATTGTTACATTAGAACATGCATACATATACCCACTACAAAACTGTACATCTTTGTACATCTTGTTTCAACGTTAAAAAAACTAGAACATTTTTTAACATTTCATCAGGTGGGTAATTACGATGCAACTGAAATATTTTATTTAGAAATGCAGTTATCGAAGCACATGCTTTCCACTTCTGTCATTAGGAAGTTTCCCATATAAGGTATAAAAGAATTTACATGTGGAGAAAGAAAGGAATCTAAGTGATTAGTAACAGTGAGTAACAGGGGAAGGATGGAGGGTGTGGATATAAATTAAGACGGGATAAATCCAGCCAATGGAATTCTGTTGAATCATAGAGTTTAAACTTTAACAGTCTCCTAGCTTGGTTAGGTTAATGTTTCTAAAGTGAAAACATTCTGTGCTCGGAGATAATTCTTCATGGAATGTAAAAGAGTATTACAGTATTTTATGAAACGGACTTTCTAATATAGATTAGGATACTAAACTGATTTAAAATCTTTACATTGCCACATTTATTATACTTAACTAAATTTTACTTTACGATATAAATTAGAATACTTACATACTTTTTTCACTTGTGTATTATTTTTTGCCATGAGCATTGTAAAAGAGAAAAATAATCCAATTTTTGTTTTTTTTTAAAGGATAAATTGGCGGTGAAATCTAGATAGAAATAAAGGTAAAATAACATTAAAATTCGTATTAACCTTCAAATTTCAATAAACTAACTTGGAAAAGGGAATTTATGTTATTGCATAAAGAAAGATAAAAATGATGGAAGGTCTAGATGAGTTTGGATAAAAACCCGACCAATTTGGTGTCAGAGTTGTTAACCTTGAGCCATCAACACCCTGTTAATAGGCACTGCTAATTTTGTGTGTATTGTTTCTATGAATGTGAACAAACATTTTAAATTTAAAAAAAATCCCCATATTATTAAATTAATTTATTAATATTAATTATAAAGTATTATTTAAAGGGTTAAGTTACCCTGCTTAAGCCAAATATTGGATAAACAATAAAAGTAACCTCAATGAAATTAAGATTATTATATTCCAGTTAATTTACAGAAGTAAGAATAAATTAGAATATTTTAGGTTTAGGGTTAAACTTCAAAGTCAAATTAAAATGAATTATGTATTACAAGTACAACTAGGGTAAATTGACGGTAGTTATGCTGCTATGTTTAAAACATAAGAGGATTCGTTCATAAATTAGAAATTTCTTTAGCAAGATTGTAGAGTTAATTCTTTTGTATGTTGACAATTTATTGCCATTTCATATCTCCAATTCAACAGATTGTCTCATCAGAACAATTGCCATGAAAATATTTGTAGAAAAGACTGAAGGAAGCCACAATATAACAGTGAGAAATTTACTGAAGTTGAGATACCAGATCAGGATTGATTATATTACAGACTTATAATTCAGAGTTTTCTTCCTCTTAGAATGCCCTACCAAAGCTAAAGAGTTCAGGCTGCCCTATTATTTCCAAAGGCTTCAATTCAGAGTTTCCCTTCTCCAAAAAATAGCTGCCACCCAAGACAAGAGAGTCCAATCTGCCCTGCTATTTAACCCATAGCAAGGGCACTAGTGAGAAAAGAATGAAACAGACTTGGTCAGAATTTGAACTCTGCATCCCAATTCTACTTTCAGCATTTATAACCATTACACTACCTACACATCAATGATACTTAATCTTTATCCCCCTCCCCGCTGTTAATCAGTTAAAAGTATCCAAATACTAACAATGAAATGATGCCTAATATTTACCCTGCCTTCATCACTTAAGTTTATTTATATATATATATATATATATATATATACAGAAGAATTACTTAACAGTAATTACTCATATCAATCCTTGTTGTTATGTCCCTGACTCCACAGCTTTGTTGTACTGTGTCAACTTTTCAAGGGGTTAATTCATATATTGAATATTTCCAATTGTAATGAATTTATGCAAATAACACATTATCAAAATATAGATGGTGTCAGAAAGAAAAAATATATCGACTAAAATTAAATGGGAAATCATAAAAAGTGTACCTCAATATAATATTAATAATAGGAAATGTAGACTGTGTTTAGAAGGAAAAAAAAATTATGTAATAAATTTCAATAATCTAATTAAATTATTAAATAAGAGAAATTAATTAATGGGTAAATGCAGACATTTTAATAAATATTTACTTTGCAACTTAAATACCATTATAACATAATAAATACAACAGAAACTAAAATTAAATAATAATAAAATATGATATAATAAACACAATACAATACATATATAAACAATCAAAGATATACATACAAAGAAAAATAAAAATTACAAAATATATAATTGAAAAGCAATTACATTTATGAACAAACATGTGAACACATGTAAAATATGAAAAAAAAAAAGCAGATATTCAATACAATTGGAAATAATTAATATACAGATTAACCCCTTGAAAAGTGGACACAATAGCACGAAACTGCAGTGTCAGGTACTTAACTGTAATTCTCCATATCAATTCTTGTTAAGTAATTTTTCTGAATATATATATATATATATATATATATAAATATTATCAATGCTCTATGAAAATAAATATATTTATATTTACATATGCTCTATCTCTGATATTGAGCACTTTATCCCATAAATATAGCACACCTTAAAACTATATTTCTTTATATATATATATATATATATATATAATTGCTCTGTCTTTTACATAGAGCTCTCAACAGATCTTTATCCTCTTGGAAATTCCATACGGATTACCAATAATTTTATCAATAATATATATATATATATATATATATATATATATAGTCATTAAAATGTACATTAATTATAATTTTGACTATTTCTCAACTATCATCTTGGGTTAATTACAATTTATCCAAAGCAATTTGATTGCTTTCCCAGTGCTTAACAGGTAAGCCCTGAGAAGCATTGCATTCGAGTATAAGCCTCTGTGAGTGTCTCACTATTGTGGCCTTTTGCCACCCTGCCTATTCTTAGCATATATCTATGTATACACTTGCAGTAGGCTAGTGCTTTGCATGTTCATCCCATTGGCTTCTGCAAGTGAGTTTGATCTTCACTGGGTGCCTCATAGTTGTGGTTTTGTGCCAGATGAGACTGAGTTTGAAATATATCAAAAGAGGAGACTCGTCTGTATTTTCACCTCTTTGCAAAATTAGATATGTGTTTGCAAGAAGTCAAAAAAGAATCCAAGTGAAATGGAAACAGTAAAAATTGAAAAGAAAAAAATCAGTTGACATCCACTTCAAAATTTTTTTATTAGTTTTTCTTTCATTTTAATTTTACTTGTTTTTCATATATGAATGAATGAAAATAAATAAATGACTGAATAAAAATAAATTGCAGATCTGCAAGCATGCAGATTAGTTTTTACAGATTTCTGTATTGTCTCTTTCTAGCTTGTGTCCAAACCAGACCAATTTGATGTTATGGTTCTTCCTAACCTCTACGGCAACATTGTAGATAATTTAGCTTCTGGTCTTATTGGAGGTGCTGGTGTGGTTCCTGGCGGTAGTTTTGGCCATAATGTTGCTATTTTTGAACCTGTAAGTATCTGAAATCTTTCTATGACTTTTTTCTTGTTTTTTTTAGCTTCCAATACTACCAAGACCTCTTTTTCTAAAACTTTATATCTTTTTTTATTTCCTATTTAACCTTCCAATATTGATTAAACAGACAAGCAAGGCAACTTGTAATGGGGAGACACCAACACATTTTATTGGGTAGGCAAGATGCTCATTTTTTTTTTTTTTTTTTAAGGAAATAGTAAATAAAAAATATTTTCTTTTGAAATTTTCAATATTAAAATATTTTCCATTTGATTCCAATATTTTTTTTATCTGTAGTCAGTACTATTTTTGCAATCTTCTCAGAAATTAAAACGTTTTTATTAAGAGAATTCTAGAATGACCAGAATAAATGGTCCTCCAAAGATGCAACAAGTTGACAGATGACTGAAAATTTCCATCAAAGATTTAATCATTTTTGCCTTGTCACCAATGAAAGATGCTGTCTAGTGTTGTTATTCAAATAGAATATTAAACCTCTCTAACTATGCCAGACACTTACCATCGATTAATATCTCCAGTTAGTTTAAATTGGGAACAATACTTGTTTAAATCAATCATTTGGTTCTCTGGAAGGAATTTATACAAGACACCCTTCCAATATTACCATAAAACCTCATGCTTTCCTCCCATATCCATTTCTTGTAAAAAAAAATTATAGTTAATAAATAAATTATAAGTATTTTAAAATGGAGAGTTACTTTTCAATCACCCTGTATGATGTATTGTTCAGCAAGAGATCTCCAGAACAAAAATTTACAAACCACTTTTAAAATGTTCCATCACTTGCAGAACTTTCCCCATAAATTGCAAACATTTTTTTGTTTTTCACATTTCTTAAAATAAAAATAAGATGGTGAAACGTTGCTTATTTTCTTCCATTTTCAATGTATTTATTATGGGAAGTTTATTGGTATATAAAATGCATTGAAAGATTGTGACAAGCTCATTTCACGGGGGAATGGTTTGTTATACACATGGTAGATGTACCCTGTAGATATTTATTTAGATTAAATGTCTTGCTTGCTTACCATCATTCTATGACAAACATCTTTAACAAAAAAAAAAATGTGTTCTCTGTGCCATCTGTCCAAAAATAAAATCAGTATCATAATTGGGTTGACTTTAGTTGATTTCAAAATATGGATGTTTGTGCTTCCCTGTCTTACAACCTTTCTTAAACTGCTTTGGACGACACAGTGATTTCTTGCTTCTTCATGGGTGAAGGTGGTAGTTGCATTTGAGGGGTTTTGGATTAAAAAAAGTTTTTTTTTTTTTTTATCCCTTTTGATTTATGTCTCTTGCCTTTTTCGCTTTGGACTTGTGAGATTGATTTGTACTCTTTGGAATTATGACCCCAGATTTTTTTTACTTTTAAATCTGAATCTCCCATTGCTATTTTCTCACAGCCAGATCATAAATAGATGTAAACACATTTACAAACACACATGCACTTCTGTCTGAATTTCTGGGATGACGAGTTAGCATGATCTACATTATTTACATGCAGACTATTCCTCATCTTTGTTGCTATTACGACCATTGTACCTGCTGTACTTCATCAGATGTATGTCAATCCAGGTAACCTACAGGGAATCTTGAACTGATCCCTTTATTTAATCTACAGGGGTAGCTAGACCATTCTCATTCCATTGCCAACGTCACAGGATATCTTGTCTAGTTCAGTTATTGCTCACCGAGTCCAAGCACACACTACCCGGCCTAGGGATTGAACTCACAATTACTATGTCACCAAATTCATGAACCAATGCTCATAGGGCTCAGAGGAAATGGGGGTGAGCAGTGGCTGAACTGTAGTGAACTCAGAACACTGTGATATTCCTAATAAAGGCCAGAGGGCACAATGGCATGACATTGTGATAACAACAACAAAGATGATGAAAATAATTTGCATCTAAACAATGTAAATAACAGATATTTCTTATTTCTATATTTAGTAAATACACACCATACCTTTTTAGTTAACATTGTAGGACTGAGATGGATAGAGAGAGAGAGATATGAACAGGCCAAGATGTTTTATAAAAATTAGGGATAATAGGAATGTTTCTTAGCAGAATTATTTTTTTTGTCTCTATCAAATCTTACAAGTAAGAACAACAATAAAAAATACGACTATCACAAAGAGATCAATTCATTTGCATTTATTTTTGCAGTGCAAAATCTTTTTTTACTCAAGACAACCCAAGATGAAAAAACAAGCATATTACATTATAACAAATATAGTATTTCACAGACAATTATTACTGTAGTGAGTTCAATCCATGCTTAGGGTGACAAGCTGTAGGACTTTCTTCTGCATTTAACTCTTACTTTATATTGAAGAAGAAGAAAAAAAAAAACAACATAAAATTGTTTGGTCATGAAACAGTTGGGGGAGGATAGCAAACTAGTAATAATACAGTGGTGAGTTTCATACTCACCAGGTGCCTTTCATTAACATAAGTTTAGTAAAGATCTAGGAAATGTTGCCATGGTTAGTCAGCTGATCCTGTAAGCTATTAATATAGTGCATTCAATCCTCAATTAGTGCAATATATTTGTGCCAAACTAAGTTTAATAAATACCAAAATTACTAGAAACATTTCATCTTATAATAAAGCATCAAAAACATGTAAATAAGGTTTCTATTAATTTCTTATTACAACCACAATAGATCTACAGAAATATATATTTTTTTTTTAAATGGCTCCATATTTTAGAATTTAGTGAGGCAGACATTTACAAATTAGTGAAATTTAATTTTCTTTTAAGTTATTCTTTCAAAGAGAAAAAAAGATTTTTTTTTATTCTCCACTGCAATTTATTTGTGTTAAATTCCATTTAATCAACCCATGTTTTTTGTTTTTTTTTTTCAGGGAGCACGGCATCCATTTGCTGAGGCATTGGGCAAGAATATAGCCAACCCCACGGCTATTTTACTGACTGCCTGCCGTATGCTTCGTCATATCCACCTCGATTATCATGCCAATGTCATTTCTAATGCAGTCCTCAAAGTCATCAGTGATGGCAAGGTAAACTGAATCTTAATGTCACAGGCTTAGTTTGAAGATTTTTTTTTTCTTTCGAGTCCTTGTCTTCATGAGACAACTGATTTTGATTCACCTCATAAGTTTGAAAAAACATCTTTGCAGTTTTAAATTTTATCTTTAAATAAAAACAGAAAAAATAGGGGATCGTATTTACAGCTTTTAATCATTGGTTGATTCATTGACAAATTTACATTCTTGGTGAGAAAAGTCTTTCCTTTTCTAAAGCTTCACTTTTTTCTTTTTTTTTTCTCATTCTTTGGTTGTTCTTCTCAGTTTCACTCCTACCTTAATTCTTCCATTTTACAATATATTTTGTTGTGGCAAGAACATTCCAACCTCATCAAAACTTTACCCTTGGGCTGCAATGAATAACAGTTTTCTCATTGTAATACAATCAGTAAGAAGAGGTTCATGGGTGGGGTTTTTTTTGTTTGTTTTTTAAATCAAATTATTTTCCTGTAATTTTATTTTCAATTATGCAAAATTGTTAATTTATGACTAATGAAAAATTAATTAATTAATTTATGACTAATGAAAATTAATAAATAATGAAAAATTAAAAAAAAAAAATAATAAACAGCAAGATAATTTTTCCCCCCAACTTTTTTTTTTTTACATTGCAGGTACGAACTCCGGACATAGGAGGTTATTCATCAACAACAGACATCACTTTGGCTGTCATTGACAATTTGAATTTGTGATGTGACTTTTAGTAAAAACTAGTGATAAATTTATTTCATTTTCGTTTTGTTCTCTTCAACATGAAAACTGATGCAGAATCAAACAATTGAAAAGCAATTCCTTTAGTCATCCTGTATTTATTTGAAAAGATTTTTTTTTGTTTAGGTCTTCACACAAGATTAGTCCAGGAAATCTAAAAAGAACAGATAGATAAATAAAAATCAGAAGGGAGACAATTCCTGAATATTCAAAATTGGTTTCTTTTCACAAAAATTATTTTTAATTTTCTTTTCTGTTCAGTTTTTTTTTGATGACCCAAGATTATTTATTTTAAATGAGGGAATCACAAGTAACAAGCGTTCATCTCAAAAATAGCTTCCATAAAAGTCCCTCATTTCAATTCATTCTTAACTAGGATTTTTATTTTCTATTTGAAGTGGGTCGGTTGGTCATTTTGTAAACCTGGTTACCTCTCTTCCTTCACCTGACAATGAACCAGTTTCAGTTCAGTATTTTTAAAGAATCTTTCAAAAATTCTACAAACAAGGCGTCTAAATTATTTATATAAAAATAAATGAATTAAATTTTCTGAATGAAACTATAAAAAAAAAAAAAAAAATAATTTTTTTTATTATTATTCTCTTATTCTGAATCTGATCTTGTAGAGAGACAACATTATCACGGTGTCAAAGATAACATTTTACATTAAAATAATTCAGAGAGTTGTCTTAGACGTTCTCAACATTTCCCAAATATTAAACTTTTTTTACTTAAATACCACTGAAAAAATACATATGTCTTGAAGTAAGAAATTCCCTCCACGTCTGAATTCATTTTTAATCAAATCAGTAGATTTCCAACCATAGTATATGAATATTTAATCAAATTGAAACACTTTTTTAACAATAATAGTTTAAGAGAAATGTGAAAACTAAAATTTTTCTTCTAAAGTCAAAATATTTCTTTTTATCTCAAATCTATCAGATTACACTTTGAATTTCTCAGGTAAAAAAAAAAAAAAAGAATTATACAAAAAGGAACTCATTTAGTTACAAATGGTAAGAATCTCCAATTTTCAAATGGATAATAAAAGAGAAAATTCAAGTGAAATATTTTTCAAATAATTATCAATATCTATGATTTTCCCATCCAATTTACCCAGCTCTGATTTTCAAATAAAAAAAAAAAGTGGGTTGTTTATTTAAATTTCCAAACTGGTTCAGTTATTTGACAGATTTAAACATTTACATCTACAATTTTGCTATTTCTTTTTTTAGTAAAAGAAACACGTTAACTTACAGAATTGGATGGGTTAAAAGTTCAACTTTTATTTCATATTAGAATTTAACTTTTGCAATAGGCAAATGTCTCCAGATTGCTTTTCTTTGCTAAGAACGAAAATGAAAAAAATGTGAAAATAGTCTTTCTGTCATGGTACAATGTCTCTTTTGACTTAAGAAACACAGACACATGACTGGTGAACAAATGGGAATGGGGCAGTAAGCAAATACTTCAGAGCAGCTATTTACCAATTCTTTGAATATCTCCCCACTCCCCACATACTTTTTTTCTGTATTGATGAAAATAAATTTACAAGGTGTTCCTTTGAGTTATTTTTTCTTATGCCTTGAACCTCTCTCTCTCTCTCTGACTTTGGAATTTGCTATAATCTGTTATGTAAATATGTGTTAAACAGCTGATTTGATCACACTGTTACCAATCTGATAGTTTGTTGCTGCTGCTGCCGCCATTACTTTAGGAAAAATCCTCACCTCTTTTCCATGTCCAAGTGACAAAGTTAGGTCAATATAAGTGGCAGTGTTGAGTTCATGCCTTAAGAATACAAATACAAAATGATGCCAACAATAGTTTCACATCTAGAAAAGATCATTTTCCATTCCTGGTAATTCTCAAAAAAAACTAAAATTCTGTACACCTTGTGTTATGACAATGACAGGAGGCTGTGTAAATCTCTGAAAGAAATGCTATTGGTTTATATAATCACATGTTGCTTGATGGCAATCAATAGAAAAGAAGTGATTTCTGACTCAGTAACAACTTTAGTAGACAAGACAATTATTTTTTTTTTCTGTTTTGTTTTAATATATATGTATGAAGTTTATCCAAAACACAAGGACTTTACATGGTAAAGAATGGATCTGGCCAAACAGTTTCCTTTAAATAAAATTGATGAAATCAAGGCAAACAGTTGAGTTTTGTAAAGTACATTGCACACGGAGGAGATTACGTTTACAAGATCTCTTTTGGTGGCCATTTTTTACAGATATTAAGACATAAAACTCCTCACAAGAAATACACATTTTCCTTCTAACCAGAATTCTCTATTAGGAGGCAATGATCTTAAAAGAGAATGAAACTGAAAAAGCCTCTCACTGATGACGGTTGATGCTGATAAAAGTAAATGGGAATATTCAATAATTTGGTGACATTGAAAAGGAATCCAATTTACAGTTTGCAGAACAGAAATAAATTTTCTAGTCTTTATTATGGAGTGAAACGAATGCATTCTTAAAAGATGTAACTGTTTATCACTTAAAAAACAAACTGTTCTCAAATATAAGTAATAAAACTAAAACAATTTAGAAGATACAGCAGACTAAAAATAAATTCATATCTTTAATGCGAATTTTATATCAACATGCTTTCAAAAGCTTGAAGTTTGTAAAATAAAAATTGATCACAATAAAAACAACCTTTAAATTCACACTGCTATCCAAGGGAATGACAAAAATAAATTGGTGACGTGGCCTAGAAAACATCAATAAACAAAACCCCACGAAATACTGATTCTTTGTTTTTCAGTGTGATTTCTAGAAAGAGATGTTCTAATAAAATAATTGGCCCAACATTTCAAGAAACCAGCAGAAAGGAGCCATCAAAACACTTGGATAGCAGAATGAAATAGCCATGATCATTGAAGCACAAATGATTAGAGTTGGAATAGAAGAAAAACAAAGGGACAGTTAACAGGATGAATACGTTCGACTTTCTTTTTTCTTGTGTGTGTGTTTGTTTGTTACTTGATTTTGTTTTTATTGTGAGATGAAGTAAAACTAGGGTGACATACTGTGTATGGAGCAGTAAGTAGTGTTCTAGATGAATTGATGAAAGGAAGGATGGACGGCATCAAAAGAGGTCAAATCTTGCAAGGGTCATCGCAACCAATATTCCCTTGGGGTTATTTCTTCTTCTGCAAGTTTTTCAGCATCCAATTGATTCCAGGCTGAAAGAAAATAACATCAGAAAATCAACATCATGCAAGTCAAGCATTTTACTTTGAAATTTAAACATTTGTTACTGGAAGAGATAATTTGCTGGAGTAATTCATATTTATTAAACACCCAGTGAAGAACAAAGTGACTATTAATGGCAGAACCAAAATAATTATTCCTCATGTTTTAACATTAGAACAAAATCTATTTACACACACTTTTTCATACATTCTAACACAACTCTAGGTTTGGCTTATTTACAGTGCTTTTGATTCAATTCTGCGTCTCCTAGAGGAAACTTGTCATTAGATGTGACGTGCCTTAGCCCAGCATGGCCACATAGGACCTCCTGAGCACACATCTTGTGATTCTCAAAACATACATATCTGCTCTGTTTCATATCCCATGTAAACAAAGACAATTTTTTAGGAAATGGATTAAATCCGACATATTTTATCAGGAAGTCCTACGTGGCCGAGTTGGTCTAAAGCATGTCAGATCTAATGACAGTTTCCCCTAGGTTATGCAGGTTTGAATCCTGCTGGAAGACACATATTTTTCTAACAAGATTTCGCGATTATTCAGGCCGGTAGATGTAAATAAATAAATAAATATACTGTTTAATAGATAAATAAAAACAGCATCTACTCAAATATGAGTATCCATTTAAAAATAACATTTGAACAAATAAATTAGAAATATGTCGAATTTAATCCATTTCCTAAAATATATAATGGTTGACTACTCTCATTTTCTGAGCACACAACCCTATACTACGGCAGCCAGCCAATCCCTGTCACGTACACATTTATGTTTGTTCAACACCCACAAAGTCCACCTTTTGTTTAAAATGCAACTGTGTTGAGACAACTTTAGTTACAGTTTCTGGCAGTTACTGTTATGATCAGTTGTTTGAACAATGACAGTATGCACAGACCCTCAGTCATGATGACTTTTGACTTTGTGCTAGCACAACTGACAACACCGGAACAGTTCCATTTACCCAATTTTACTCACAAGGCTTGGGTCAAGCCATAGTATGGTTTTCAGGCACTTTCCAAAGGTGCTGCACACTGAGATCATCACCCGAGACCTAATAACATCACCTTTCTGATAAATTCATCATGGTGAAATTCAAACCTAGAATTCTAATTTAAATGTAAGTATATCAAATACAAGTGATGTCATGTGTAGAATAGTTTGTAACTTTATTCTAAAAATTCAAAATTTTAGTGCCAAAGGATGAAAATTGATTTTTTTTTTAAATTTTTAAACACATTTTTTCCTGATATGTTTTATGTAGATTGTTTAATTATTTTGAAAAATTATTTTTAAAAAAATGTTGATTTTTAGGGCCCAGTGTAATTAGAAATGAATAGGTTAGATATTTTAATTTTTTTTATGTAAATGAGATATTTCCTACAATTCTTATGTACCTAAGAATTACACTTTTAATGATTTTTTTTTCATCCTGTCTATAATTAGGATTTGTTTACAGTTACAATAGAATAAATTAATGATAATGACTTTATTTTTATGTCAGGACTTTTTTCTAAAAGTATATTAATTTTATTTGTTCATCAACAACATGGTTTTGGAAATTATGTTAGCAATTCTTTAAGGAAGAAGTCAGCTTAATATGATCATATTTTTAATAACAACTATTTTATATCTGAGGAGATTGATGAAAGATAAGAGTGTTTCATTGTGGGTTTTTTAAGAATATAAATAGAAAGGGATTCTATTATTAAGCTTATAAGTAAAATGTAGAACAGAAATTTTCTTTAAGGTGCTTTTCTTGTCATTTTGTCTCAGTTTTTTTGTTAATGTTAATAATAATATATATATATATATCATAGGTTAGGCAAAATTGTCAATGAATTTTGTTTTTTAAGTGTATTATTATATCTACTCTATCTTTGGCAGGGAAACTTTTGATATTTAATATAGCAAGAATGCCATTATTAGGTTTGTTTGAGTCCAATATTTAAAGAAATTTGTTAGTGGAATAAACACCAAGTATATTTGTTAAGTATGGTAAAATCAGTTGATTTATAGTTTTTGATAAATGATATACAAGGAATTTGTGAAATTATTGGATATAAAAGTAAACCAGGCCTATGTTTTTTCATATTCCTACACAGATGACCTGAGTAATGCCTATAATTTTGTAGAGTTTAATGGTTTTTGGCATTATTAACTGTAATAACTTCATTGATTTATTTTTTTTTTTTTGAGAAGGCTAGTAATGTTTTTGTATAGTAATCACTCAAGTTTAAAATAACAAAAATGTTAATTTTGTAACTTTTTTGCATTATAAAGATTGCATCCTTGATACTTAATCAAAAAACATTAACTTCCCCTATTGGTTACACAAACATCGCACTTTCTCATAGGTTAACATTTCACATCAAATATTAGTGCATTTCATGCACACAGAGATATACATATAGTTACAAACCATTCTATACATGACAATTTGTATACAATAAGAAGAATTTTAAATGAGAATTAAAGTATTTCTAAAAGATGCCAGGATGAAGCTAATAAAATTTGTTCCCTAATGAAACTGATAATTAGAAATGGTCAAAAGTATTGGGGAGGGAAAAAGCTTTATGAACTTTAGACAGTTTCTTCATAAATTCAACCCTGATGTGTGATACACAAAATAGAAAAAAATGCAACAACAGACTTTGTTAGTCAATTTCAATAAAATTTGTTTGAATAAATACATAGACACACACATAAAAACACACATTGCATTTTATATTTGTGTATTATAAACACATACAAAGAAAATGGTTTGTGTTAGAAACACTATCAAATGAATAAATTATTTTTTGTTTAATTTTTTACACTTAAATTTTACAAATTTCACTGAATACAATGTTTTTGGCTATTTGAAGTTTGAAAACAAATCAGGCCTTCCACAAGAATTTAATATAGACAATCTCTTATTATTATTATTATTATTATTATGATTATTATTTTGGTTCAAAAAGAATGTGCCAAAAAGGTAATCCTCAAAAGTATTGATAGTGATTCTAAATCCATTTCAAGTGCATACAAATTAAAATCCATTGCTGTCAGATTTGCAGTGAAGTGGCTTAATTGCTGCCCATCAACTGAATACCTCAGAAAACACATTTAGCCTTTTGCTTGGTTTTTTATTGTTATTAAAAAGAGGTAAATATTACAGAAAGATAAAAGTGAAAAGAAGCATTTTCAAAATCTATAAGAATAGCATCTAGTACAGGTAATTATAAAGTGATATTCATTGTCATACCCAATTTCCTGACAGTGAAAAACAAATCTAGTGATAAAAAATAAATCCAATTGGCATGATATGACAAGAGTAGGTCATTGCCAAATGATTGGATTACAATATGTCACATTTTATTGTGCAAGTCAATGTTTTCACAGTAAAACTGGTAATAACCAACCAATATTGCTAAAATTTCAGGATATATTTATATGATAAATATATCACACAAATATTCATTTTTATCAGAAATATTCACTCTAACTTATTTGCTGGTACAAAATTTCATTATGCAACTTGAAGATCATTTCTCATATTGGAAATAAGTATACATATTAATATAAGTATAGTTATTAATATATATATATTTTTTTTATTTTAGATCTATAAAAACTGTCATGAGTCGTAAGAAAGATGTAACCTCAAGAGAGAAGTTATAAAGTTATTGAGGAACAGAAACACCATGTTAGAAATTACAATAAAGTGGAAGAGCAATTGTAGAACATTCATAAAAGAAATTGAAAACATTGCCAGAACAGAGAAAATTGGCTTTAAGAACGTCCCCCAAAAGATTTTATAAAATTAACAAGGTAATCATCAAGAAAAGTGTATTAACCAACAAAGTGTTAAAAATATAGACAGAGAAAACATGCAGAATATTAAGAACAATGTAAAAATATGAAAGCAACCAAACTTCTAAGTAAATATATCAACAAAGAGAAACATGTAATTTAAGAGAAGAAGTAGGTGAAAACTGATTTCTTAATAGTAAATTTTTGTAATGAATGTCTAGCTAAATTAGATAGAGATGGTGGGTGAGCAAGTGGTTGGGTCCTCCTGGAAATCGTCAACGGCATAATTTACAAGACTACAGGAAGTAGGTAGAGTAATACTCTGGATTCATTTATAAAAAGTAAAATTATAAGTCCCTTTAACATTGTTGTATTGTCGAGATGAATGATACACAGAGAAGAATGAGTGCTTAATATATTTATTCAGCACCATTATCCAGTGTTAACAGATACATACAAAAAACACAGAACAATAAGTTACAAAACAATTTACAAGGAATAGAGGAGGGTTAAATTCTGTATAGCTAAACAAAGTAAAATCATCTTAGTATCAACTTATTAATCAACTGTTAAAGTCCTTAATTTTAGACTATTTAAGGCTATGAGCCAGGTCATCTGGTAGAGTGCTGAAGGGGTGCTAGCTACTTTACAAACATTAATGATGGTACCAAGATAAATACAAAGTATTATTGTAATTTCTTTGACAAGATGATTGATACCAGTCCAAAGCAAGAAAAGCTTTAAAAGCAAAAGTGTATTCCTGCAATATACATTCTGAAATACTGATGATTAACCACTTTTCTAAAAAAATTTCATTTCAAAGACATCAAATTAATGGAATTATCACGCAGCCTCACTAGATAATAATCGAATAGAAAACCTAATATATAAGAGAATGGAAAACAATGTTCAAGTAAAGATTGCTGGGGAAACAATAAAAAAACTGCTGTAAGGTAAAAACAGTATGAAAGTTAAAAACTGATGAAATTTATAGAATTTCAAGTAACCAATATTAAAATGTAAAATAATAATTTTTTTCTAACAAATCCAATATAGTGTTAACCAAATATATTTTTTTATTTAGCTTGTATGTTTTTGTTTTTATTTGAGTTGAACTTTTTGTTTACATAATAAAATCTGATCTCCACCTCCAAACAAGTTATCAATGTATTTAATCAGGATAGACATTATGATATTCATACAATATATTGCTAATGTCTGTCCTGAAAATGTTACCAACATTGGTTAGTAATTACCAATTTTATTGCGAAAATTTATATATTAACTAGTCAAGTTTGTAGAAAAAAGATCAATTTCAGTCTATGAGAATATATCAAAAGCCAAGAAAAGTTTTCTTGTTTTTTTTTTATTTCCTTTTTCAGGTATAATTAAAATAAACTTTTCCTTGAAAACTGTTTAAAAAAAACTAAAAAAGGTCAAATATATGAATCGATGCACATCATTTTGTGAATATTAAAATGAAAATAAAATCTGGCATTTGAAAATAAGTGAAAAAGTTTGGAAAATTAAAAAGAATCTAATTAGATGTCTTGGTGATTAGTCACCATTTGATCATTATTCAAGATTTTATTTCAGAATTAAAACAGGGAATTGTTAATCGATTTGATCAAAAGTTGTACCAATTACATACAAGAGTTACTGAATATATATATTTTTGTCATACAATTTATGCTTGTGAAAGACATTGTTGCTTACCATTCTTTTCTCTGAAGGAACAAAAAGTAAATCTGTGAAAACTTTGTCGAGACTTGTACCAAAACAAGGATAAAATCTGTCTACAAAATTAAAATGCTGGAGGGGAAAAAAAGAAAGGTTTCTTATTTCATGTAGAGTTTAAAAATGAATTCTATTCAACTACTGTTACAAACACAACTTACTTCTATTCCTTCGCCTGTCATAGCTGAACAAGGGTTGATTTGCCATTTGCGATCCCTTAGTGAATGTAAATTGAGTCCATCTGCAATGTCAGAGGCAGCGGCTGCTGTCATGAGGTCCTGTTTGTTGGCAAACACTAACAATGGAATTCCACTCAGTTTTTCTTCATCCAACAACTCTTGCAATTCCTACAGCAGAAAAAAAACAAAAAAACAAATTAAGAATCAAAAAATAATTTTGACTTTATCTTTTATTAATCTAAGTTTAATAAACAGTGAATAAAAAGCAAACAAAAAAAGCAAATATTACCATATTTAATGGCATATATTTCCCTAGCTCTTCATTTACAGTATTATGGAGTTAGGCACAGTACAAATATTGCTAGTCTATGGCATCTGGATGAACATTAGTAGACCAGATACCTAAACTTTGCATATAAAACCTTGGAGACATGGGAATCATTTTTCAGGGGAAAAGGAGGGGTCTTATGTGCGATCAAATATAACTTCTCACCCACAGGCATCTAATGTGGGCTTGCAGGACAAACAATTAAACAAAACAACTTATTTAATAGAGAAAATATCAACTGATCTTAACCCTCAAATTATAAGAATACATCTCTACTATTGTTGTTAAAAAAAAGACTGGCTCTAACCGGATTTATCAAATCTCTGAGGATTCTATCAGTGCAGAATGGTTCATGCTATTCCTCTTGATAAAAAAGGTATTTTTATTTATTTGATTCATCTTAAATGAAAAGCAACAATGACACATTTCTTGTTTTTGATCAACAGGTTGAAATGCTCCTCTTATTTTGTCTTTCATTTTAATTCAAGCATTCCAATCATTCTAATTCCCTTGAGCAATTAATCTTCATTTCCTCCTTTTCTTTTTAAATACCTTTACCACAGGATGGAAGATCAAGTATTCCTGTGAACATTTCATTTTGTCCACAATTTAAACTGAAACAAACCACTTGGTTCTGTAGAAAACATATAAGCAAACTCCTCACAGGAATATGACATCACCATTAGCTTCTCCATTTAGAGCAGTGTTTCTCAGCCTCTTTTTTTTTTCTTTTTTGACTTTAGGGCTGCACACTTGTAGAATAACTAAAACTCTGGGGTGTACTTTAAATTGGGAAAAATTAGTCATGAAATTTTGCTTTAGCATTCTCAAACAAGATCAGCCGTACAGTTTTCATTTAAAGGGGAAAATATACATTTTTTTTTTAAAAAGAGGCCAATAATAACTGATTTAAATCCCTTGAGAATGGTAAAAGGGAAAGGATTATCCACTCGTTTAAGATTAAGGAATTTAGTATCCAGTTTAAAATATCAAATGACAAAAACTTAGACACGGAAGCCATGTGTTTGGTGTCTCTAGCTTTTTAAAAATAAAGATCTTTTAAATATAAAAATAATTCATAAATTATTCTTCTGTTAACTTGGGGTGCAACTGGCTACATTTCAAGGTGCATTAGTTTGCCTGGGTGCACCAATTGAGAAATATTGATTTAAAGTATTTATTTCGATTTGGTTGTAGATAATAATGTTGTAGTACAATGACATACAACCAAATTTTTGTAGAAGCAAGGCATTCATTTTGTTGCCTCTCAAAAGCATAAGATAACCACATATCCTCAAACTGTTATGAAATAAAGATGTCAGTACAGTAATGTTAATAAACTGTTGTTACTAGTGTGAAGATTCAAAAGCAATGAAGATTCTTATGGTACACCAAAAGCATCAAGAATCACAACAAAAAAAAAATAATAATTATTAATAACAGATTGCGTTTTTTAATAACTCAAGGTCAAATTAGAATTAAGAAAGATGTTAACAAAATATGTATAAAGCATTAAAACATGCATAAAGTTAATATTTACAACCAAGTGTAAATTTAGAAGACAAACAAATGAAAATCAAACATTTAGGGCTTCAGCTTTTTTTCTTTTAATAAGCAAAAGTGAAATTCTTTCAGAAGTTTGTGTGCAATGCAACTGAATAGCAGATCTCGGTGAAAAAATAATAATAAAAACAGAAAATAAAAACTAAATGAGAGGAGGAATATCAGTGGACAACTAAAGAGGGATCATGAATGTGCAATGTCATCATTTTGGAAATCTCTTCTTCAGGGAAAGTAAGTATAAAAATCCTTCTCAAAGTTAAAAAGAAATCAGCATTTTGTTGTTAATCAAGCACTCACCTCTCCAGTTTCTTCGAACCGCTTCTTATCTGAACTGTCAATCACGTAAATCTGTAAATAGAGAAAATGATAGCAGCCCATTAATTATCAGATGACACTATTTACTGGATGTCACATACACCTGAAGAAGTTTGGAAAATGAACTTTGGTTGAACACTATTAAAAATAAAATTATGAGGATATTATTTTGTAATTCTGTAATTCCAAAGGTTGTTCAGATAATTGATCTTGTTCTCTCGATTTTGTTATCACAACAGTTTTTCAGCCAATCTATTCTCCAGCCCTCTTCAGGTGTACAAGACATACATATATGAGTGTATAGGGGAAGGGGGTTCTTTATTTTTTTTACAGTGCAAAACAAAAAACTGGTAACCAACAGAATAAAAATGATGGCAAATTTATTAATCAAACCAAATCATTAGGCCAAACTTTACAGCAATGGATGCGACACAGGTGATTGCAGATTTTCTATGTTAGGGTTTATATCCAATCTTTTCCTTTCTCAATCAGAAAATCAGACTTAAGGAACATAGGAAAGCCTTATCAAAATGTGTGAGACATGACAGACCATAAGTTATAAGAGAAGAGATCCCACTCTAGGTTGAGATTTTGCTGGAAAGTGAGTAAATAAAAAGAAGCTAAGTATATTAGCCTTACTAACAAGTTTATAAATGAAGTCAAGTGTAATGTTACAGCATGAAATCAATATGTGTAGTATTACAGCACAAAATCAAATACCAGTTGCATGACACAGTTGTTAGGTTAGTAACACAGCTGGCTTTGATAGATCAGCCATCTTTGTATAGCCATGTTGTGTCTTGCCTCGACTGCTAAGTCAGATGATCTCAGCAAGTTAGCTGTTAGCCAAGCAACTAGATGTCTCTCTCCTGGCCGACTCAGTCGCTTAGGAGACACACATAGTCAAGTGGAATGTAGATGATTTTACTTGGGCTTGAAATGGCAGCAGTTTTTTATAACCAACAGTGAAATCGAGATGGGAGAGCTTCAAAGCAACCACCCATTGTTCAGAAGTAAGGAAAAAGAAATGAATTATGTGAATAAATAAATCAATAAAATCTTTCAAGATCAAGTGCCACTTGGCTGGAAAGTAATGAATTCCACTTATGGGTTTATATAGTCAGGTTATATTCTAGTATGACCCAGTCAGAAAGCATTTTTTAAGGTGTTACAGGTCATTTATTAAAAGGTAGACTAGTCAAAGTGATGGCCAGACTTGAGCTGCCCAGTGAGATGTACAAAGGGACAGTAAAAGTGGCAGAATTTTCATTGGACAAAGGGAAGAAGATCTGGTCTATTAGTCTGCCATGAGAAAAGTAACAGTGAAAATGTCCCAAGACATGTCAGGGGATCTCAGACAATGCCAGGTGAATCTGTGAATAAAGAACCTAGTATATTGAAAATAAGACTCAGTCTTTCCCAATTTTTGATCCTATCAATATAACCCAATTCTCATTTTGTCAATCTGCCATTCCTTGTTCCAGTGTGACCAAAAACATAGTATTCTTGACATCATCACTTGGTAGTGTTTTTGACTTTCACTATCATTGCATGTTGACATCAGAAAGTTGGGAGGTAACCAGATTTTATAGGACTTCACTCAGTGGTCTTTGTGATATACCCATGGAGATTTCAGGTGTGAAAACTCAGTGGCTGTGGTAACTTCTTTGTCTCTGCTGAAAACTGATTTCACAGCAGAAACCAATAAACTCTGTTCATAACAGAAATGAAAACAGACTGAAGAATTTAAAAGCACATGAGGGGTAAAGAATTATTAATCTTTCTATGTAGCCTTGTAAATGATCTTTTGATAGGAAAATTATTTCATAATTTAAGAAACCTTGATCTTGGAAAAGTATTCTTGTCTACCTGGGCTTGTGTAGTGGCAGAAATAGTAGCATTAAGTTGAGAAAACATGGCAAACTTGCACCTTCATGCTCGCAAGAACACGCAATGCCAAAAGGACAGTTTTTCCATTGATACCGCCATCATTTTAACTACCTTCACTCCTCGGCACTATTTAATCTTTGTTTCCAACTTTGCCAAAGACTGTTTCTGTCCGTCTCTTGTCCATCTTGTTTATATAAGAAAGTTTGTGCAATAAAACAAGTCCCTTTTTGGAATGCAGTCAGGTCAAACCCATGATCTGAATTTTGGTAACAATATGTGCATTTGAAGACTAATAGCATTTTGTATAAAAATAGCAAAAAGTCTTCCTGGTAATTTGGGAAGTTTTCCATAAAAAACCCCATAAATCTGGTCATACTATCCCAAAGGTAATTGGGTACGTTAGGGAAGTCTTACTAAATCTTAATGAATTTTACTTGGTTTATTTCAAGTTCAAATCTTCCTAGAGCCTTTTCCAAACTCATTTTATGACTTCTAATCCAGACTTTCTTTCCTTATGCTCCTTGACATTTAAGTCATCAGAGTTTGTTTCACTGTTTAATCGTATTTATTTCTTGCTTCAAATCTTCATTAGGCATTCTCATGCATTAAAATGTTGAACTAGAGTTAGCACCCTGTTATAACCAATGGCAATGGGAATCAAACCATGGCATGGGACAGAAGATGAATATAAAAGCAGACATGACAATTGCATATAAGCATGAAACAGGCTATCACCAGACTGGATGTTGATGTCAATGTCCGCTTTTATATTTACAGACACTCTATCCCTGATATTGAGCACTTTCACCTATGAATATAGCTTACCTTAAAACTATATTTTATCATATATATATATATATATATATATATATATATATATATATATATATATATATCCTAAGAGGAGCTTCTGTGCCCTCAAATGCACCCCTGAGACAAATTCTTGAAAAACTTGATTGACTTTTACATGCAATTTAAGGAATATTATTGTTTGTTTTTTTTCTCATAATTAGAGAAATCAACCTGAGAATAAATATTAGCACAGTTATCAAGCTTTGAAGATATTGGAGATCATACTATCTATAGCTGTCATTTGATAATGCCTTCTTTCAAGTAAAAGACAGATTCTTTTTATATAAAAGAAATTATATATTTCTTGACTATCTAATACTGACCAATGAAATTGTGGCCTAATTTTCATCATAGAGAAACATGACTTTTGCAGTTAACAAATTCTTAAATTGAAAAGAACATTCTTGGATTATTCCCTAAAGGTTTATCAATTTTGTCTCTTGTAGAGCTTTACTGTATTTTTTGAATATCTAATACTGTGTATCTTATAGAGATTTGCTATATTCCTCAACCAAGTGGAAGGCTCAAAAGTGACAAGCAAAAAGAACATTTATATTTACCAATACATCTGTGTTTTCAAAATAATTTTTCCAGTAGGGCCGGATTTTCCTCTGTCCACCAATATCCCAAACATTTAGTCGGAATCCACCAGATTGTACAGTTTTTATGTTAAAACCCTGAAGAAAAGGAGAATAAAAATCATGGCCCAAATAACTTTTCTAATCATAATAATTACTGTCAAGACATTACCTAATGAAAAATAAATGAAACAGTTTTTTTTAATTTCTTCTTCTTCTTCTTCTTCTTCCTCCCTCTCCTCTATGCTGGGCAATAGAGAGTTTTGAGGTGATAAAGAAATATTTTGATGAATGACAAGAATTAAATAGATTAATTTTTTATAACAAAAGGATTATTGAAAAAAGAATGGATCACAAGAGAAATCTGTTAGGATGTGGATAGTTAAGACACAACCTATGCACCAACTTTATACTGGCTTTGAACCAGACTGCATACAGAAAATGTAATATTTAATTTTCATGTTTTGTAGCTATATCACAGACAGACTTTTTTAATTCATATAAGGTGAAAAAGATGACAATTTCTACACAATATTTCTGTGGTATATGTATGTATTTACTTTATTTCCTAAAATATGAAATATTTGAAAATACACACACAGCAATTGACCTTCAAAACCAAAATAAATGCCTGGTAGCCGCAAAAATAAAGCTAATTAGGAAAAATCATATGAGTAGATGAAATGTTTTAAACCAATTTTGCAGTAAACACAAATATCAAATGAATGTTTGATGAATGTTGATCCCAAAATAGAAGAAATAAAACACAGACACATATACACATTAACCATTATTAATTTTAGTTGTTTTTCAATAAAACTATTCAAACTGTCACTCTATAGGTGTCAGTAAACAGCACAGATCAGAAATATATCTGCAAGCCTTAAAAATTCTTGTGGCTAAATCTACAGAGCAGCTGGTACATTTAATCAGGCTTCTTGAGGCAAAGGGATCTGGGTTCAAATCTTGCTAGGAACTTAATGTTTATTTTCAATCCATGCTGTTTACTGATGGTAGCTTCATTTTATGAACTACATCAATTATGGGCTTATCGAAAGAAAATAAAGAGAGAGAGAGAAAACCAATACTCACTTGTGTTGGCGTTATGTGGCTTATGTCTTCTGAAGCCAATTTCTTTAAAAGGGTTGTCTTTCCCGCATTATCCAACCCTAACAATAACAAGCGCAGTTCTTTATCTGGCTGAGATTTTAACTTCCTGAGAAGTGATAATAAACCCTGAAAAGAAAAGAGATGGAGAAAGAAAAAAAGTTGATTTCATTAAATAAGAACTTAATGACTTCTGTGAAATTGAGATTATGATTTCAACAAGTTTTGTTTTGTTGGCATGTGAATACAAAAAAATATTAATAACTGTATTTGAAAGGTAAATATTTACTAAAGTCTGGTACAAGGCCAAAATGATAGAGTATTTCAGTAAAATCTACTTTCAAGAAAATTTAGGGAAACCTATTCACAAAAACACAATAGTTTTAGTTAGACATGAATCTAATGTAAGTAAGTATATATTTTTTTTAAAGAATTAATGGACTTATCTTTAATCCGACATTTTTATTACTTTAAACATTATTTTAGTGGATACTCGTATAAATAGTAAATGCCTTAAAAACAATTGGATTTAAAATAGAAATAAATGCAGGTATAAGAACAGTAAACTTCTTAGACATCAATCTCAACCTGAACAAAAATATATATGAACCGAACAAAAAAGTTAATGACATCCCAACTTACGTAGACACATCCTCCAACCATTCACCTTCAATCATGAAGCAAATAACCATATTAATCAGCCACAGACTATCTTAAAACTCATCAGACATTTTCAATAACTAGAAAACGCCATATGATGATGTACTAAAAAAAAGTGGATACACAAAACAACTACAATATACACCTCCACAACTGAAGCACAAAAACAGAAAAAGAAACATCATCTGATTTAACCCACCATACAATAAAACTGTCAAAACAAACATAGGAAGGACATTCCTAAACTTAACAGAAAAGCACTTCCCTGTAACAAACTGCTTAGCAAAATTATTCAACAAAAATAACATAAAAGTTAGTTACAGCTGCACAAAAATATGACACAAATAATAAAAAGCCACAAGAAAAAAGTAACAACCCACAATAACACAATCAAGGAACCTCAATGCAACTGCAGAAGTAAAACAACATGTCCACTCCAAGGGAAGTGCCAGCAAATGAATATAATATATAAAGCCAAGGTAAGTGCAAGCAACAGCACAATGTACTACATCAGTGCCACTGAGAGACCATTCAAAAGAAGGAAACACAACCATGACCTCTCATTCTCCTACAGAAAATACTCAAACAGCACTACACTATTCACATACCCGGTGGCAACTAAAAGACAGAAATATTACACCAAAAATAAGCTGGGAAATATTGAAAAACCCACTTGCCTACAACAACATAAGAAAGAAATGCCTACTTTACTTACATGAAAGGTAACAATAATTTCCCATAAAATAAAAGAAATTACTAAACATAAGATCAGAAATAATTTCTAAATGCAGATATGAAAACAAATACCTATTATCACAATTTATGCCAAACAGATAAAAAACAAAAAAAAAAAACAACCAACTCTGCTACATAAACCACCATTGACCCTATAATCATAAAAAGAGAGACCACTGACACCATCAATAATTTTCTAATTCAAACGACCATCATAATAATTATAATCATTGTTATAACCATTCCACCACCATTACTACAATCACTTCTACCATTTTATCATAACTTTTTACTGCTACAATTGTTATTATAATCATCACCCACTTCCCGCATCATTACTACTGCACCAATCCAATAAGCATTATAAATTGAAGTTTCTACCAAAAACAAGCAAATAACCATCTTTAAAATAATAAAACAGCATTAAAATAGTAAAAATAATAACAATGTTATCTACCATAGTCTTATGCAGACTCCATCTTAAGTATATAAAAAAACAGACGGATAGAAGGTATGTGAATGCGTGTGCATACGTAAATATGTGTGTGTGAGAAAACATTATTCCATGAACAAAACAGACAAATGATCTGTGCATTGACACTGCCACTTGGAAAGAAGATCATTATACAATCCAACATTGAATACAGCAACCAACTGCATATGTATGAATGCAATGACACATGGATGCGCATACACGCCCAGTCCCACACTGTTCTGATATGTGTATGTTTGTATGAGCTGCAATGTGCAAATGTGTGTATGTATATTTCCATCCATGAATGGCATTGAGACAACAATTTTTCCTCCCATTACCATAAAACACCAATATACGCAACAATAAATAAATCCAAAATTTAAAAAATCAATCAGTTTGTCTGATGATCACAGAGAGTGGGAAACCCAGGGTCACAAACTCACATCAATCCAACTATATATATATATATATATATATATATATATATATATATATATATGAGAGAGAGAGAGAGAGAGAGGATTCTCCCATTGTATTTGACATATGAGGGTCAAGCAGCTCATTTTGTAGGAGCTGACAGCCAGACACCAGTCACATATGATTTGATTATAGTGGTGAAGGCTTTGCACAGAACTAACCACACTTTTTGAAGGGCTGAATACAGAGACCTGGTACACAACGTGCCACAAGCTCCCCAAACAAACTTTCTCAGGCTTTGAATTCAGAGCTGTCCTTCTCCTAGACCAGTTGCCATCCAAGGCTATAGAAGCCAGTCTGTCCTGCTATTCACCCATAGCTGAAGGGAGAAGAAGAGGATTAATACCTTTCCCAAGGGTATTAGTATGTAAGTGAATATAATTGATTCAAATGGAATACTTAACTTGGTTCTCCGATTCCTCAATATATATATATATATATATATATATATATATATATATATATATATATATGCTGAAAAAGTGGAGGTACCCCTAATTACCTGGCCATCACCTATAACCACAGTGGCACAACTTGCCTGTCCCAACCAGGTTTCATGAGCTGACAACATATGTGGAACAGCTATACCTTTCCCAAAGCCAAGACACACACACACACACACACACACACACATATATATATATATATATATATATATATATATATATATATATATGCACACATTACATTTTGTACTTGATAGCCTCTAAAACACATTTTACAAGTGAGTCCCCCACCCTTCAGATACAAGGTGTAGGGTGGGGGACTCCGATATAGTTCAAACCTTTAGTGTTCATCTTCCTATCCATTTACTAAGAAATCATACAGTGAAACTAAATATTGATTGTCTACAAGGCAGCAGCTTTTTCTGAGTTACTTGCATCCTTTATACACAGTGCTAAACATGTAAATGTTTCAATGATATGAGTTGGACAAATTTGAACATGCAAAATGCTATTGAAATTATTCAATAAGAGTTCAGGAGACTGTGTGTAGTTAAAGACTTTCATTTAAGAAAGAAAAATAACAATATTCAGACCCAATCCCTCCTTCTAATTGTATTTTTGTTTGTTTGGGCCTGATTCAATTGCCAACACTTGTTGCCAAGGGAGATTTGTATACAAACACACACACACACAATGATTGACAATTCATTTTCCCTGACATTGAACTACACACAGACAGCCTGTAAAAAGCATAAAAAAAGAAAAGAGAAAGTCAAAAAAGACAAATACATGAAGAATAAGATGTCAATAATAATAATAATAAAAACAGTAAACACATTTGTGAATGTGACAAAGTTTCATCCTCATATCTTCATTTAATTAGTTATAAGTATTTGCTAAGTTTAGTCTGACACAAGGTCACAATTGTAGTGTAACCAGTGAGGATCAAAGCTACTATAATAGTTGCTAGGCTAGCATATTAACTATTACTCTATTCATAATATCAATAATAAGAGTAACATTGAAAGACAAACTTAGCCTCTGAATTATTAGATGGTAAAAAATCATTTCTTTAAAGCATTATCTTTTAAAACATTACAAATGGAAGAAAACTTGTTTGCATTTGGTGATTTCTCTTATTCTCAAAATTTTAAGAACATTTTATTATTAAAGTTAATAAATCTTCCTTAATTATCTAAAATGCACCTTTGTCAAACATTTCAAGATCATCTAACAAAAAATGTATCATGTGACCTACAAATAAACAAGGCTAGAAAGTTTTAGGAATAATAGGCAAGGTGGGATGCATTTTCACTTCATCATAACAACAAATGATGACCAACAACAAATGATTAGTTTGGTTTGGTTTCTGCTTAATGACCACTATAAGATTATTTGAGGCCAGATAAATATTTTGAATCAACTTGAGGTTATATGAGGAACAGTGATGGTTTTGGGACAGTAAGTTGGTGAATGATTTTTTTTTAATTAGTTATTAGAGATGTTGGATTTTTATTTTGTATTCAGTTTCTCATATAAATTAATTATTACAGTTTGTCTTGGTATTTTTAGTGGGAATCTTGATGAAGTCTAAAGGGTTCTTTTTCTTTTTTTCAGTTTTCAAAATATATTAAAAGTTTTATGTCATTTGGGTGGGAGTTTTTATAGCTTTATAGCTTGGTGTAAAATTGAATTTCCTTTTAGAAGTTAAGGATATTGTTTGGTTTAGTGTTTTGAAACAGTTCTTTTGTATTGTTTACTTGATAATATTTTGTTCAGGTTTGACTGATATGATGGCAACTTATGAGTATATGTTTGACTTTGAGTGGCACTTGATATCTGTTGCATGATGGGGGAGTTTCATTTTTTTTTAGATGTCAATTATCAGATGTGTATGTTCTATTCAGAGTCTGAATAAAGCAAATTCCACCCATCTTATTTTTCTGAAATCTGGGAGCCATTCTCCTATAGTTGATTGAATGTTTGTTAGGTTTTGAATTCTATATTGCTTGCCAGTTCTTTTATTTTGTGTCTCAAGTCTATATGGAGTATCTTTATATTGGTTGTTATGTTTTAGTCTGCTATTTAATTGCCAAATATATTAAAATGACTTGGAGTCCAGGTTAGGATGAGTGATTTTTGTAATTTAATTATTTCAGTAAAGGTTTTAAGTATGTCTAAGATGTATGGATGTTTGAACTTTCTTTCCAAGCTACAAAACTTCACAGAGAGTCTATGAATATGTTAAATTTCTGGTTGTTTGAGTTTTTAATGAGTTCAAACAAAAACTGACAGCAAATAAAACAGTTGAAATTCGTGTAAGTTTTCAGATTTTA